GGTTATACCATGAATTCTCATTTTATATAAAAGTACTGGGATTATACCAAAAACCCTTGCTTTATATGAGAGTAGTGGGGTTATACATGGCAATGGCAAACTACTGAACTTGATATGTGCCTAGAAAAACTACAACAGCCAATAAATTCTGGGGTTGGTTCTAAAACATCTTGTAAAGGATACACAACTAACGAACTGGGCTTATACCACAAATCCAATTTTATATACAAGTACCTGGGTTATACATCTGGTTTACATAAAGGTACTGAGGATTTCTCCCACCCCCATATATAAAAGTGCTGGAGCTGCACTCTAGTGCATGATAACACCACCGGTCACAATTTTTAAAAGTCAATTTAGGGCATTAAAGTGTGAGAGAGAGAGAAATAAAATAGGAGTGTGGGGAAAAAAGAGAAAGATTTTGTCAGAAAAAAAGATAGAAGAGGGAGAAAGACAAATGTGTGAGAACATTACAGAAAGAATGTGACAGAGAAAGAAAGAAAGAAAGAAAGAAAGAAAGAAAGAGAGAAAGAAAGAAAGGAAGGAAGAAAGAAAGAAAGAAAGAAAGAAAGAAAGAAAGAAAGAAAGAAAGAAAGAAGAAAGAAAAAAAGAAAAAAAGAAAGAAAGAAAGAAAGAAAGAAAGAAAGAAAGAAAGAAAGAAAGAAAGAAAGAAAGAAAGAAAGAAAGAAAGAAAGAAAGACGTGTGAGAAAGGAAAATGTGTGAGAACATTACAGAAAGAATGTGACAGAGAAAGAAAGAAAGAAAGAAAGAAGTGTGAGAAAGAAAAATGTGAAAGATATACAAAAGAAAGATAAAGTGTCTGATAAAGAGATATGGTCTGAGAGAGAAGGAAAGAGACAAACATTATCATAAAATCTCTAATTTGTCCAGAAGTAATTATGCCTGAACTGATGTTTTTGTCCTCAAGCTTAAAGCGTAACAGTCATGACCCGCTTTATTTCTACAGGACAGAAATATGCAACTGGAAGAAGTTGCTGAGATTTTGTAAACAAAAATAACAATCAGCAACTCATAAACTAAGAAATGACATGAATAAGTTTACTACATACAGAACCAACAATAAAAAATGCAAAAGATGAAATTAGGAGAACTATATATTGTTTTCTAAATTAGTCGTTAAAAGAAATAAATAATTTAAAGAACTTGCCGAAAACAGTAAAAAAGCACACAACAACACCAACATCAACAACAACAACAACAACAAAGCAATATAATAAATACCAATCAAGTTATAAAAACCTGCCTACCTACTGTCAGGCACAAACTACATAATTAACAGGATGTTCAGCCATCAGTTGCTTTTCTGAACGTGGAAACAGTGACCAGTAAATTGCAAAATAATTATTACATTACTGGAATTACAGAAATAATCACAATTTATTTCTTTGTTTTATAACTCTGAAGACAGAATAACTGAAACAGTTTAGATATAAATTTTGTTGTTAAGTGCTTTGTTTACCTCCTTCCTTGGGGATTTAAAATCTTAAATATGATGGTAACTTTTCTTAGAATTTGTGTTCAAATCTAGCAAATCTACAAGAGATGATAAAGAGCTAAAGGAGGAAATGGATGCAGACAGCTTAAGAACTGTGTGTCTCAGAAGAAAGATGTCAAATAAAGTTTGACTATCAGCATTTCTTTATAATTCCCGTGAAGTTCAGACTCAACAATCCCCCTGCCGTCCCAGTTAGAGTCAAAATATTCCACTCACATTTATTACTGACGTCATCTGTCGGGCATAAATTAACTGGGAGAAAATGAGATTCACTACAGTGAGGGCAACCATGGTCCTGCAATCCCATACTGCTAACTGTGGAAGATGTTTCCAAATGGCAGCAGATCATGCTAGTCAATCACTACCACTATGGCTTTGATTCCTGTGGCTATAGCACAGTATAGCACTATTGCTATGCTATATACTGATGTATTTCTCTGCTTCATGCTGTTAGGTGTTACAGACCCAGCTAATGATGGTTTTCAGTATAGTGAGTGCTCATTAGCTTACTGCTTGGTAATATTGTTGAGTTTTAGCAAGCTGTTAACATCATCTATTCATTTTCTTCTTGGTCTTCCTCTGCCTCTTGATGTTTCCATTATCCTGTTGTATGCTTTTGTAACCGATGATTCTCAATTCATTCTGACCAGGTGGCAATAACATTTTAGTCTTTGTTTTTCAATAAATCTAATGACAGGTGTTCCCACCATTCTAATTATGTCTCTTGTGAGTTGTTATTAATGCATATTAACTGTTGTAATTAAATATAACACAATCGTCTGTAAAAACAGAGAGGTGTCAACAACAAGAGAAAAACCCTGTTACTCCCTAAAATCTGGCAGAAATTGGTTCTATACCACAACGGGTGGCCAGATAGGACAGCAAATGAAGTAAAACGAAATCAGTACTTGATGTCAATAGGAAACAGATACCAATAAAGTCACAGATAGACAATTGTAAATAATTGGAAAGAGAAAGAGAGAGAGAGAGAGAGAGAGAGAAAGAGAGAACAATTCTCTACCAGCAGGTGGGAAAAAACAACAGGAGAACTTTTAATTATGTTGCAACTGTCATCAGTACAGAAACTCTTCACTGGCTACTGTGGAAGGAGACAACGGGTATGTCCTGGGCGCTGTGATGTCAATCCAGGATCTTCAGGATTCATTCATCAATTCTGAGGATCAGCTGGCAAACGGTTAAGAACTATAGGCTCTCAAGCGGAAGACCTGGTTTCAAATCCCCAGTAAAGTTGTGGAATTATCTGTCGGTAACAAAAAAATAAAATCCGAACTCGCACAGTCCGCGGTGACAGCACTAGCTGCGTGGTCCTAAATCTTCAGGTTCAAAGTTCCCCTCTTCCCTCTCCATCCTGTGCAAGTGGTTAATATAGGCAGCGGTGGCAGTTTTATTCACGAATTCTGATTCACAGTCAGACACACATGGCAGCCATAACTAACTAACTGCTGCTGACTTTGGTAGTTCAGAAATAATTCTAAAGTATTTTTAACAAGTACATGAGTGAACACAATTTAATCTGAGTTTTACAAATGCAAAAAAAGAAGCACTGCCCCCTAACAAGCAAGTAATACAATACATCTAATTAAGGGTGTTTCCCTCAAGTCGGAGTGCATCTGCCTGAGAAGCAAGGAACCAACACTCTGCATTCAAACAAGCCAGATCTGTGAAACAGATGTGCATGCTAAACTCAAATTCTAGAAAAAGACCAAAGTCCAGAAGAGGATGGAAAAACTAGAACTTTCCACCAGTTTATAACCGGTGATCATGAAGAAGAGGAAGAGACAAGGAAGAAAAAACATGCAAGCACTCAAAAAACAGAAGATTAAAATTCCAAATAGAATTTAATAAATATTTTCTCTTCTCGTTTACTTAAGGAAATTATCACAAAGTTTACTTAAAAAGAATTATCACAAGTTTACTGTTGATTCGATTACAGTTTTACCCTTGGAGACCATCACAAAATTTACTGTTGGAGACTAAACCAAAGTTATCCGTTTGGGATAATCACAAAGTTTACTGTCAGAGATCATCAAAATGTTAAAAGTTTACTGGAATAATCATCAATTTTACTATTTGAAATAATCACAAAGTTTACTGTTTGGATAATCACAGTTTACTGTTAGAGATCTTCACAAAGTTTATCACAACATTTCACAGTGATACTCAACAAATAACAATATGATCTACCATATGAGACTTTTCCTGTTACTGAATAAGAAAAAAATTATATAATTTACTGATGCCAGCCATCTTACTGGTGCCAACTATCTAGCTGTTATTAACCCTATTACTGATTATAACCCTGCTACCAACACACAACCTTCCTAATGTCAATAAGCTTATTGGTTTCAGACACTTCACTGTAGACAGTCATCTTACTGATGTCACTTTAACTTTCTAAAATCAACAGTTTTACCAACTTTAAAAAGCTGTATTTGTCCAAATCACTTTACTAGTGTCAACCTTTTTTTTAATTGTTGCCAACCATCTAAACGATGCCAACCATCTTAACGATGCCCACCATCTAAACGATGCCAACTATCTAAATGCCAACCATCTAAACGATGCCAACCATCTTAATTAACAATGCCAACCATATTAATGATGTCAACCATCTTAACAATGCCAACCATATTAATGATGCCAACCATCTTAATGATGCCAACCATCTTAATGATGCCAACCATCTTAACAATGCCAACCATATTAATGATGTCAACCATCTTAACAATGCCAACCATATTAATGATAAAAACCATCCTAATGATGCCAACCATCTCAATGATGCCAACCATCTTAATGATGCCAACCATCTAAATGATGTCAACCATCTTAACAATGCCAACCATATTAATGATAAAAACCATCCTAATGATGCCAACCATCTTAATGATGCCACCCATCTTAATGATGCCAACCATCTTAATCATGCCAAGTATCTTAATGATAACAACCATATAAACGAAGACAACCATCTTTATATATATAACAGTTATTTATAACTTATTTATTTATAACAGTTATATATATAACTGGGTTTTTGAGACTTCTGCTTGGTGGATTCTCATCTGAATGGGGGCACTTTGTGTCACTGGGTGTTAAACCGCTGTAGAGTTGAACACGACTCACTCTCACACACATGTAAACTCATCCCCCCCCCCCCCCCCCCCCCCCCACAACAACAACAAGAACAACAAACACACACATACTAGACATACAGGTTAGTCTATAGTGCCCCCAACTGTGCTATCTGTCTGGCTAAAGGGTTAAACAGAGTTTCTAGGGTTTGCAGAATGCAAACATGTAGGGGTAAAAACTTGGAAAAAATTTTTAAAATTGAAAAAACTTACATAAATGATCTCCATAATCAACATTTCAAAACAGATCTTACATCAAACAATATTCAGTAACAAAAGAATGATTTTTTCATGGAATCAAAGAAGAAGCTGCTGTAAACAAACAACCTTATTTGAAATCTTCATGGTTGGTCTCAGACAGATTATCTGGTTCTTTCAGTGATGCCTTACTTGATTCTTTGCCAGATTGTGAGATCTCCTTTCCTGAGTCTTCGATGATATTCATATTTGCCAGGATACATTTCCGCAGCTGCACAAACAGAATTCCAAACAGCAGAGGAATTGGTGTGAAAATGGCAGAGGCTATCGGCGACACGATGCTCGTGTCTTTATCTGGTCCAGTTAATGACAGACGAAGTAATACAATGGGAATTCCGGTGTTCTGAATTCCTGTTTCCACAGCGATGGTGATAATATTGGCGAGGTTCTGTCGGCAAATAAAAGCAGCTAATCCTCCAAGAATGAAACCCACATACGGAAGCAGAGCCGAAGCCAGCAGAACTTCACCGGTCATTAGGGAGAAGATGTACAAGTTGGCGTACACTCCCACAGTCAAGATAAAGAGAATAAACACTATCATGATATATTTGACAGCTTTTATAAAGCAGATAGCTGCTTTTGGGTACTTTCTCTGCAGAATGAAGCCGACAACAACTGGTATGACAATTCCTAGAAGAGAGAAGAAAATGTTCTCAAACGGAATTTTCACTTTGGCTTCACTGTAAACCACGCGTCCGAGGGTGAACAGCCACATGGGTAGGAGACCTGAGGGGAAAGTAAACAGATTATATTATAAACTGTCGATCAATAAAGAAAACACAACATGTCTTGGAATAACAGAAACTAAACTACTTTGGCCACCCTGAATGAATGCAACAGTAGTTGCTGAGTTAAAAACCAACATCACAGCACTTGAGACACTGTCATGAGCACTCTGTCCCCATCTTCAGCAGCGCAGCCAGCACAGAGTTCCAGTTTCAATGCTACCAGTAGCAGTCTGATTGTTATGTCTGAGTGTTGAATAGACCCACTGGTCACTCCCAAATGCATCTTTCTCTTCAATCAGAGATGATCTATTTGTAATTCCTCACAGCTCCCAGAGATGATCTATTTGTACTTCCTCACAGCTCCCAGAGATGTTCTATTTGTACTTCCTCACAGCTCCCAGAGATGATCTATTTGTACTTCCTCACAGCTCCCAGAGATGTTCTATTTGTACTTCCTCACAGCTCCCAGAGATGATCTATTTGTACTTCCTCACAACTTCCAGAGATGATCTATTTGTACTTCCTCACAGCTCCCAAAGATGATCTATTTGTACTTCCTCACAGCTCCCAAAGATGATCTATTTGTACTTCCTCACAGCTCCCAGAGATGATCTATTTGTACTTCCTCACAGCTCCCAGAGATGATCTATTTGTACTTCCTTACAGCCCCCAGAGATGTTCTGGTTGTGCTACCTTACAGCCCCCAGAGATGTTCTGGTTGTGCTTCCTTACAGCCCCCAGAGAAGTTCTGTTTGTGCTTCCTCACTGGTTCCCAGAAATGATGTATTTGAACTTCCTCGCTGCTCCCAAAGCGTCTTCATAAAATCTAGTCTGTTATGCATCAACTGGTGCAGAACCAGTCAGTGTGTCTGCCGGGTCATTTCCCAACACACATACATGCCCTGGAGAAAATATCCAAGAAAACTTGGACCTCTGAAGCAATGGGTTCTGCTGTGTATAGAGCACACCTGTCTACACTTATATCAGCAGATTAGGTGGGTCGGTTACAATCATGACACGTGTGTCTCTCTGACAATGAGAATGTGATCACTGACTGGATTGTAACCAAGAACATCAAAAGAGACTTTTTCCCCTTCCAGAACAGATTAAAGTTTCTCCCATTTCACGCCTGATATAGCCTTGTGCCCCCCTCCCTCCCTCAACGTGAGTTCATGAATTCCAAGAATGCTGATGCTGCATCTCAATTGCTGTATACTATACTTAATTTGCCCTGGTGTAAACTCCATTCCAGGTTCCTATCATTGTTTTAAGTTCTAGTCCAGCAACACAGCCTTCCATTGCAGTGCATTCAGTAGCATTTATTCTGCATTTCTATTGCTTCTACTAGCTCTACCATTGTTCTCTTCCCCAGTTTGCATAGATGACCTGCCTAGCCTGAGGGCCTCACCATCAGATTACCAGCCTAGCCTGGGGGCCTCACCATCAGATTACCAGCCTAGCCTGGGGGCCTCACCATCAAATGACCTGCCTAGCCTGGGGGTCTCACCATCAGATGACCTGCCTAGCCTGGGGGTCTCACCATCAGATGACCTTTCTAGCATGGGGGCCTCACCATCAGATGACCTGCCTAGCCTGGGGGTCTCACCATCAGATGACCTGCCTAGCCTGGGAGCCTCACCATCAGATGACCTGCCTAGCCTGGGGGCCTCACCATCAGATGACCTGCCTAGCCTGGGGGTCTCACCATCAGATGACCTTTCTAGCATGGGGGCCTCACCATCAGATGACCTGCCTAGCCTGGGGGTCTCACCATCAGATGACCTGCCTAGCCTGGGAGCCTCACCATCAGATGACCTGCCTAGCCTGGGGGCCTCACCATCAGATGACCTGCCTAGCCTGGGGGTCCTACCATCAGATTACCAGCCTAGCCTGGAGGCCTCACCATCAAATGACCTGCCTAGCCTGGGGGCCTCACCATCAGATGACCTGCCTAGCCTGGGGGTCTCACCATCAGATGACCTGTCTAGCATGGGGGCCTCACCATCAGATGACCAGCCTAGCCAGGGGCCTCACCATCAAATGACCTGCCTAGCCTAGGGGCCTCACCATCAGATCTTTGAGGTTCATTTTTGGCTCCTGTTTAGAGTTTCTAGGAATATACAGTGTAGTAGTGAACCCTTGCTTCGCACAACCACATGGCTGAGCATCTCAATCTGCAGCAATCTTGTAGATTGCCAGGGTCAGTGAACACCCTGCTCTGTGAAACTGTTGCTAACAGCAGATAGCACCACCTATCCCAGCGGATACTTGGTCCCCAAGACTGCATTAACCGCATCACGGCGTGTTTCCATCTTCCACCACAAGGAGGTGCAGTTAGGATTTCCCCTTCATCTGGATGTGAGGCTAGAAAATCATTTGCCACACTCTTTGTGTCCTATTAGGAGATGATTTAACTAACTGAATAAATAAAACCAGAAGAAACATCAGTCCCTACCTAAAGATGCCAGAGTGCTGATAAGCGTCATGGTAACACTCAAGCTGACGTTTCCGTCCAGTAAATAAGTGTATGCATTACTGGCCGAGCCTCCGGGGGAACAACCCAGAGCAAACAAACCCAGAGCAATCCCTGGATCTAGCTTCAGGGTGTAGGCCACCATAAACGCAATCTGAGGAAAAAGAAAATGCTAACAAGGTAAGTCTTCTGCGTCGCAGAGAGGAGTTAGATATAGTTTCCTGTCTTTTGCTAGCTGTGTGGGGTTTCTGAAGTGTCTCTTTTACTTCCCCCATATCTTTCTTAGTTGGCCACTTGCCCTGTAGCCTGCTGTTCTCATGAAGCTCATGGTCTGCTCTATTGTCACACTGAGTTGACACTCCTGTTGCTCGAATGAAGTCCATCGCCTTTATAAGGTCGCTACATATCTTCTCCTTCAGAGATTGTATAGATGATCAAAGAGTTGGGAGATTTTTGCGACAGTACAGATAATCAAATAGGCAATTCTAAGATGGTACAGGTAACCAACGAGTTAGGAGACCTGAGATGGCATAAATGACCAAGAAGTCAGGAGACTCTCTGGCTTAGGGTATGTAAATGTGTTTCAGAATCCTGAAATACTGTGGTTCGAAGCCAGTTGCAGGTGATTTGTAAGCAGACTGCTGTGCACTGATGTCATCAATGGTATGAATGGTAGCTAACCATTCAGAAATAATACCACTTTTTCAAAAAGCTAAAGATGTGAGATATGGGGTAATGTAACTGCAAATGGTAAAATAGTAACTAAACAATCAGGAAATAATACCACTTGTTCAAAAAGCTAAAGATGTGAAAAATGGGGTAATGTAACTGTAAATGGTAAAATAGTAACTAAACAATCAGGAAATAATACCACTTGTTCAAAAAGCTAAAGATGTGAAAAATGGGGTAATGTAACTGTAAATGGTAAAATAGTAACTAAACATTCAGGAAATAATACCACTTGTTCAAAAAGCTAAAGATGTGAAAAAATGGGGTAATGTAACTGTAAATGGTAAAATAGTAACTAAACAATCAGGAAATAATACCACTTGTTCAAAAAGCTAAAGATGTGAAAAATGGGGTAATGTAACTGTAAATGGTAAAATAGTAACTAAACAATCAGGAAATAATACCACTTGTTCAAAAAGCTAAAGATGTGAAAAATGGGGTAATGTAACTGTAAATGGTAAAATAGTAACTAAACAATCAGGAAATAATACCACTTGTTCAAAAAAGCTAAAGATGTGAAAAATGGGGTAATGTAACTGTAAATGGTAAAATAGTAACTAAACAATCAGGAAATAATACCACTTGTTCAAAAAGCTAAAGATGTGAAAAATGGGGTAATGTAACTGTAAATGGTAAAATAGTAACTAAACAATCAGGAAATAATACCACTTGTTCAAAAAGCTAAAGATGTGAAAAATGGGGTAATGTAACTGTAAATGGTAAAATAGTAACTAAACAATCAGGAAATAATACCACTTGTTCAAAAAAGCTAAAGATGTGAAAAATGGGGTAATGTAACTGTAAATGGTAAAATAGTAACTAAACAATCAGGAAATAATACCACTTGTTCAAAAAGCTAAAGATGTGAAAAATGGGGTAATGTAACTGTAAATGGTAAAAATAGTAACTAAACAATCAGGAAATAATACCACTTGTTCAAAAAGCTAAAGATGTGAAAAATGGGGTAATGTAACTGTAAATGGTAAAATAGTAAACTAAACAATCAGGAAATAATACCACTTGTTCAAAAAGCTAAAGATGTGAAAAATGGGGTAATGTAACTGTAAATGGTAAAATAGTAACTAAACAATCAGGAAATAATACCACTTGTTCAAAAAGCTAAAGATGTGAAAAATGGGGTAATGTAACTGTAAATGGTAAAATAGTAACTAAACAATCAGGAAATAATACCACTTGTTCAAAAAGCTAAAGATGTGAAAAATGGGGTAATGTAACTGTAAATGGTAAAATAGTAACTAAACAATCAGGAAATAATACCACTTGTTCAAAAAGCTAAAGATGTGAAAAATGGGGTAATGTAACTGTAAATGGTAAAATAGTAACTAAACAATCAGGAAATAATACCACTTGTTCAAAAAGCTAAAGATGTGAAAAATGGGGTAATGTAACTGTAAATGGTAAAATAGTAACTAAACAATCAGGAAATAATACCACTTGTTCAAAAAGCTAAAGATGTGAAAAATGGGGTAATGTAACTGTAAATGGTAAAATAGTAACTAAACAATCAGGAAATAATACCACTTGTTCAAAAAGCTAAAGATGTGAAAAATGGGGTAATGTAACTGTAAATGGTAAAATAGTAACTAAACAATCAGGAAATAATACCACTTGTTTCAAAAAGCTAAAGATGTGAAAAATGGGGTAATGTAACTGTAAATGGTAAAATAGTAACTAAACAATCAGGAAATAATACCACTTGTTCAAAAAGCTAAAGATGTGAAAAATGGGGTAATGTAACTGTAAATGGTAAAATAGTAACTAAACAATCAGGAAATAATACCACTTGTTCAAAAAGCTAAAGATGTGAAAAATGGGGTAATGTAACTGTAAATGGTAAAATAGTAACTAAACAATCAGGAAATAATACCACTTGTTCAAAAAGCTAAAGATGTGAAAAATGGGGTAATGTAACTGTAAATGGTAAAATAGTAACTAAACAATCAGGAAATAATACCACTTGTTCAAAAAGCTAAAGATGTGAAAAATGGGGTAATGTAACTGTAAATGGTAAAATAGTAACTAAACAATCAGGAAATAATACCACTTGTTCAAAAAGCTAAAGATGTGAAAAATGGGGTAATGTAACTGTAAATGGTAAAATAGTAACTAAACAATCAGGAAATAATACCACTTGTTCAAAAAGCTAAAGATGTGAAAAATGGGGTAATGTAACTGTAAATGGTAAAATAGTAACTAAACAATCAGGAAATAATACCACTTGTTCAAAAAGCTAAAGATGTGAAAAATGGGGTAATGTAACTGTAAATGGTAAAATAGTAACTAAACAATCAGGAAATAATACCACTTGTTCAAAAAGCTAAAGATGTGAAAAATGGGGTAATGTAACTGTAAATGGTAAAATAGTAACTAAACAATCAGGAAATAATACCACTTGTTCAAAAAGCTAAAGATGTGAAAAATGGGGTAATGTAACTGTAAATGGTAAAATAGTAACTAAACAATCAGGAAATAATACCACTTGTTCAAAAAGCTAAAGATGTGAAAAATGGGGTAATGTAACTGTAAATGGTAAAATAGTAACTAAACAATCAGGAAATAATACCACTTGTTCAAAAAGCTAAAGATGTGAAAAATGGGGTAATGTAACTGTAAATGGTAAAATAGTAACTAAACAATCAGGAAATAATACCACTTGTTCAAAAAGCTAAAGATGTGAAAAATGGGGTAATGTAACTGTAAATGGTAAAATAGTAACTAAACAATCAGGAAATAATACCACTTGTTCAAAAAGCTAAAGATGTGAAAAATGGGGTAATGTAACTGTAAATGGTAAAATAGTAACTAAACAATCAGGAAATAATACCACTTGTTCAAAAAGCTAAAGATGTGAAAAATGGGGTAATGTAACTGTAAATGGTAAAATAGTAACTAAACAATCAGGAGATAATACCACTTGTTCAAAAAGCTAAAGATGTGAAAAATGGGGTAATGTAACTGTAAATGGTAAAATAGTAACTAAACAATCAGGAAATAATACCACTTGTTCAAAAAAGCTAAAGATATGAGATATGGATAAATGTAACTGCAAATGGTAGCTAAACATCCCCTATAAGATATATAGAACAGAGAAAATAATGCTGGCCTGTCCCTGCTCTATTTGAGACAAACTTTACGGAGATTTCAATCAATTCAAGTTTGCTGGCGATTTCTCTAAATATATGACATCGTTGTCTGAATGCGTATGATACATGATAAAGTCCTGGGGAGTACAGGTGGCCGGCTTATTGTTGACTGCATCACCTACCAAGCGGCAACTAGTCTACAAAATACACTTTTAGCATTATATGCCGAATACAGCCAAAAATGCATAAACTGGTCCTTTACTTTCAATCTTTATCTTATAAAAATGTTTCAGGATTAAACTCACCACGGGCATAAATACAAACTGAGAGAATAAGCCAATGATTGGAGCAAACGGACGTCTCAGCTGTGTCTTGACAACGGATAAATCAACCTGTAAAAGAAGGAAAACAAAACCACAGAATCACCTTCACTGATCAACATGTAAAAGAAGGAAAGCAAAACCACAGAATCACCTTCACTAATCAACCTGTAAAATAAGGAAAACAAAACCACAGAATCACCTTCACTAATCAACCTGTAAAAGAAGGAAAACAAAACCACAGAATCACCTTCACTGACATCTTTTGTCATTAATTTTCTAGCTTCAGACAAGCAATATTGGCTACAGGGTTCACCCAGTCTTATAAACTGGAGACTAGACATTCACAAGAAGGTAAGACTTGATGCTGTCCAGTTCACCAATCCCTTACCAAGACAAGAAAGTGAGTCCAGACTTATTACTTGTTATCTACATCGACATCCTAGCATTTCTGTCTGATTCATTTATGCTCTGACCTCTAATATAGCAGCCATCTTAGTGTCTTCATGCTCACTGTACCTAGCAGCAGTTAGCTGACATATTTTATTTATTTATTAAAAATCAAATCTTTTCTGGCAACAGGCATAGAGAAAGTAACTTATTCAGTCAAAATTGTACCCCTTCTATCTTAAGGCATGTGGGTCTTAATTTGTCTACCTTATGGAATTAGCCGAATCAATCTGTATAGTAGGTCAAATCAATCTGTATAGTCGTGAAAGAAAACTGTGTATTATCAAGTCAATCTGTATAGTAGTGAAAGCAATCTGCATAGTAGTGAAAGCAATCTGTATAGTAGTGAAAGCAATCTGTATAGTAGTGAAAGCAATCTGTATAGTAGTGAAAGCAATCTGTATAGTAGTGAAAGCAATCTGTATAGTAGTGAAAGCAATCTGCATAGTAGTGAAAGCAATCTGTATAGTAGTGAAAGCAATCTGCATAGTAATGAAAGCAATCTGTATAGTAGTGAAAGCAATCTGTATAGTAGTGAAAGCAATCTGTATAGTAGTGAAAGCAATCTGTGTATTGTCAAGTCAGTCTGTATAGTAATGAAAGCAATCTGTATAGTAGTGAAAGCAATCTGTATAGTAGTGAAAGCAATCTGTACATTATCAAGTCAATCTGTAAAGTAATGAAAGCAATCTGTATAGTAGTGAAAGCAATCTGTATAGTAGTGAAAGCAATCTGTATAGTAGTGAAAGCAATCTGTATAGTAGTGAAAGCAATCTGTATAGTAATGAAAGCAATCTGTATAGTAATGAAAGCAATCTGTATAGTAGTGAAAGCAATCTGTATAGTAGTGAAAGCAATCAGTATAGTAGTGAAAGCAATCTGTATAGTAGTGAAAGCAATCTGTATAGTAGTGAAAGCAATCTGTTTAGTAGTGAAAGCAATCTGTATAGTAGTGAAAGCAATCTGTATAGTAGTGAAAGCAATCTGTATAGTAGTGAAAGCAATCTGTATAGTAATGAAAGCAATCTGTATAGTAATGAAAGCAATCTGTATAGTAGTGAAAGCAATCTGTATAGTAGTGAAAGAAATCTGTATAGTAGTGAAAGCAATCTGTATAGTAGTGAAAGCAATCTGTATAGTAGTGAAAGCAATCTGTACATTATCAAGTCAATCTGTATAGAAATGAAAGCAATCTGTATAGTAGTGAAAGCAATCTGTACATTATCAAGTCAATCTGTAAAGTAATGAAAGCAATCTGTATAGTAGTGAAAGCAATCTGTATAGTAGTGAAAGCAATCTGTATAGTAGTGAAAGCAATCTGTATAGTAATGAAAGCAATCTGTATAGTAATGAAAGCAATCTGTATAGTAGTGAAAGCAATCTGTATAGTAGTGAAAGCAATCAGTATAGTAGTGAAAGCAATCTGTATAGTAGTGAAAGCAATCTGTATAGTAGTGAAAGCAATCTGTTTAGTAGTGAAAGCAATCTGTATAGTAGTGAAAGCAATCTGTATAGTAGTGAAAGCAATCTGTATAGTAGTGAAAGCAATCTGTATAGTAATGAAAGCAATCTGTATAGTAATGAAAGCAATCTGTATAGTAGTGAAAGCAATCTGTATAGTAGTGAAAGAAATCTGTATAGTAGTGAAAGCAATCTGTATAGTAGTGAAAGCAATCTGTATAGTAGTGAAAGCAATCTGTACATTATCAAGTCAATCTGTATAGAAATGAAAGCAATCTGTATAGTAGTGAAAGCAATCTGTACATTATCAAGTCAATCTGTAAAGTAATGAAAGCAATCTGTATAGTAGTGAAAGCAATCTGTATAGTAGTGAAAGCAATCTGTATAGTAGTGAAAGCAATCTGTTTAGTAGTGAAAGCAATCTGTATAGTAGTGAAAGCAATCTGTATAGTAGTGAAAGCAATCTGTATAGTAGTGAAAGCAATCTGTATAGTAGTGAAAGCAATCTGTATAGTAGTGAAAGCAATCTGTATAGTAGTGAAAGCAATCTGTATAGTAATGAAAGCAATCTGTATAGTAATGAAAGCAATCTGTATAGTAGTGAAAGCAATCTGTATAGTAGTGAAAGAAATCTGTATAGTAGTGAAAGCAATCTGTATAGTAGTGAAAGCAATCTGTATAGTAGTGAAAGCAATCTGTACATTATCAAGTCAATCTGTATAGTAATGAAAGCAATCTGTATAGTAGTGAAAGCAATCTGTGTATTGTCAAGTCAATCTCTATAGTAATGAAAGCAATCTGTATATTAGTCAAATCAATCAGTATAGTAGGTAAAGCAATCTGTGTATTAGCCATATCAATTTGTATGTTAATCAATCTCTATATTAGTCAAATAAATTTGCATATTAATCGAATCAATGTCTTTATCAACAAATTAATTGGCAAATTAGTCAAATCAGCAACCCTTACAGTTTTATCTGTAACTAACTTCCTACCAGCTAAATCAAAATACTTTTTTAACTGAAAACATTTGCATTGAATTTCTGCAGATAAAGGTGTGAGATATAGACTGAACATGAGAATCAAGTTCTGGCAGAATGACAACTCAACAAATGTCAAGCATATGATGATTGCCAACTACCACAGACAGAGGCCATACTAAAGCAAAATAATCAATGGAGCAAGAAGAAGATGTGCACATAAGTTGGAGTGAGTAGTAGTAGTAAATTTTACCCCATCAGGATATCACACATAGCGATAAACACCCGATGACACAAAGTGCCACCATGTGGATGCGGATCACCTGTGAAGAAGTCCCGGAAACCACGTTTGGCCGTTAGGCCATATTTAAGGCCCCGCTATATTGCAGCCCCTGGCAAGAGCCAGGGTGGGGCTTAACAATAACGCAAAATTGCAAATTATTTAGTTGAAGTGAGAATATGAGGAACAAATTTAGAAAAATGAAGAACCACTGACAAAATAGGTTACAAAAACCATAAAGAAGATCCTTACACATTCCCCAACTCTTCCTTGAGGTCATTGAACAAACAAAACAAAAATAAACCAAAAATGGTTAGTAATCTTTTTTTTTTTAGCCCATAACACTCGATTTTTCTCCTTCAATGATTAAGGGCTCACAACCTACTCATGACATTACCACATCCAGCATGAGAATGGAGCTTGAGGCAGTAACTGCAGCAATCCGATGGGTAGAGAACATTGCAGTCACACATGTAACGGTATCAGATTTGCAAAACTTGCTCTGGATGTTGAGTCAGGTTTTCTGTATTTGGAATGGGGCGCATCAATCGTCACTTCACTGGATAGTTTGCTCGAGCATGCAGGTGTGGTTTGGGAACAAGTAAGCAGATAGGTTGGCTGGACTGATTCCACTGGGGGTGTACTGCAACTGTGCAAGGCAAAGGTGATCTACTGCTTGTGGGACAGGGACAGGTAAAATGGAAGATGGTAAAAACCCATGATGTAGTGAGAGTGTATGTTGACTCTGGACGTCACTCAAGACTTAAGGGAAAGGTAAGACAAGTAGTTAACTAGATGACCAATGGGAGCCATTAGTATGGAAAGTCTTTGCTGGCTGTTAAGGAAAGAGGCGGAGCTAATACGGCTTGTCCTGAATTCTGTAATGTTGAATCTTCACCCAGACTACCCAGAACCAACTTACGACGAGTGGTTCTATCCTGTAGCATCTCAAGCAACTAGAAAGAGTTCAAACACATCATTAAGACATATTTTTACCTTGGCTCCCATCCCAACATTTGCCAATACGACCAAAATGACAATGATCACATTGAAAGCTATGTCGATAGTTTTCTCCTGCCTCTCTATATGCAGTTCAAACGATGTCTGACTGTATACCTTCACATCAGACTTGAAAACTCCATCTTCTGCCCCCGTTACCTCATCCCTGCCTTGGAAAATAAGTGTGGCTCTTCCTGGTAACTTTCCCTTTAGTGAAATGGACAATGTACCTGAGAGGTTGGTCGTGTGGATATGAAAAACACTGTTGCTTACAATGTTGACCAATTTATCGTGGTCAACGACTGCTGTGACAACCCATCCGTCAAGTCCAGCAGGCACCTTGCTATCTGGTTCAAGAATATAATTAAAATATAAAGTGGATACCTCCCCATCAATGATTGTATAAGGAAAGGTGTGATTTGATGTTACAGTCAGATTCTTGTCTGATTTCGTGACGTTATCGTTATGGGTAGGGCGTGTTGACTGAAGCGTGGCTGGGACAAGCCATAACCCTGTTAAAAATATACAGTAAAGTATTTTATCCATAGCAGAATGAGATTCTTAGCAGATCCTAGTTTTCTAAATTAGTAACCGCAGGTGCAACGATGAAAAATAATCCATTCACATTATATAATAAGTCAACACTATCACATCAACACACAGGTCGAGATAGCAGAGTCAGTTGGCAGAGGCGTTCATTGAACAAATATCGCCGAAATACTACCAGTTTTTAGTCATTAATAAACTAAAGCGTGGACAAAACACAGTGCTGGCTGTCAAACTTGTCCTCGACATTAATTTCAGCAAAAAATAAAACGTTCTTTGGTCGGTTCATGCAGCCCCGAACCATAAATTAGGGGTCCCTGTTAGATCCGTTTCGTTTCACAGGTTGCTAGTGTTGTGGCTAATCCACACACAAGGAGCTAAAGAGGCCATTGAAGTGGCTAAAAGTGATAAGATTACACAACATGTTGTTGTTCGTCCATCTCAGGTGATGAGAATCACGCTTCCAGAAACCCCATTCAATCGTTAGGTTATATTAAGACCCTCGGCTACAGCCAGGGTGATGCTTTAAAATAACGTACAATTTCGTCCTATTGTGGCGACGTTAACATACAGGCCTTCGCTGCTGAGCTGCCCTTTTTTTAGATGCCTCGTAAGTCACTGTGCTTCTTCGGATAAACGTTTGCCAGTATAGTCCGGTCTCGTGCAGCCGCCTTATAAGTGTCGGTGTTTATTTGCAAAGCTTTTCAGAATGAAATTTTTCGTTATTTGAAGCCCTACTCTGGCTCTTGCCAGGGGCCGCAAAATAGCCTGGCCATAAATATGGCCTAAAGGCTGAACGCGGTTTCTGTGACCTCTCCACGGTGATCCTTACCCACATGATTGCATATTGTGTCATTGGGTGTTTATCGCTTGTGTGATGTCCTTGTGGGGTAGAAAGTCAGTCAATGAGACTGCAAAGCTTCAAGTGATGTCTTTAGAGAGTGCCATTGAAGCCATTGTTCTCCCACCATGGGAGCGTCCACCTTTTTCTATCTCACCATTGAAGATTTACATTTGGGAGCCGGTGGTCTGGCATGCGGAGGACGTAACCTGCCCTAGAATCTGTGTTTGCATCAGGATGCCATCGATGCTGGGAATGCCAGCTCTGTCCAACATCTGCCAAATGTGCAGCTGGTTTTAGAGATCCTGGTGTTGACCTCATCGTCAATGTTGACAAACAATATACTGTCATCATCATGAAGCAAGTTCTTTTTTTTTTTACAAAACGTCGCTCTCGTCTCTGTCTGCCTGAAAGAAAACTGGTCTGTTGCCAGAACTCCCGCCTCAAGCACTTTACTACTAAGTGTGTCTCTTATATCATGTGTCCACCGTCGTGATAGTCGGCCCCTGCCCCTCTTTCCTGGTACCATTCCCTTCGCAACTGTTCTTTCCAAAAAAAAAAGTTGCAATGACTGCCTCAACCATTCTCAAACTAGATGGTGTGGTATCATTTGTCAAACTTTGTTGCACTAAGCGACGTCCTTTCGCTTTTTCTACGAACCTCAATCTAGATCTGCTGCCTCTCAACCCAGAGCCATCTGAAAAACAACCCCATCACGCTGGGCGATCACCGCAGCCTTCCTCTGGCTTCAGAACCAGCTGCACTCATATATCGGGATTGTAACTCACAACACATGTTGAGTAACTCCCAACGCATGTTGAGAAACTGGAAACTGACAAGCATCGCTCTAGAAGTCCAGGGTAGCTAGTACGTTTTTGATATTTTCTGCAGCATATGCAAGCATTTTGGGATACGAACAGGTAGACGGACTGGCTGGTTCTACACCAGTTGCTGATAAACAGGTGCTTGACACGCTAAATATTGTCAGCACCCTTTGGGGCGAATGTGCAGTGCGAAGGAACAAATAGATTATTACAGTCTGGAGAGAACAGTGGAGTGACCAGAGCATGTGACCAGCGGTCAACACTCAAGGCAGAAGCTAGGCAGACAAACAATAGGACTATTACTTGTAATTTCGGAACTCAAATACTGTGTTGGCTGCTGAAAATGGGGACGGAGCGCTTATGGAATTGTCCTAAAGTCGGTTCTTAATTCAGCTCAGTCAACTCAACTTCTATATAACCTTTTACAATTTTTTTTTTAAATTAACCTTGGCTCCGAGGTTGGCCAATCCTAAAGTATATACTAGATAAAGTCCTGGGAAGTAAATGCGCATTGTGTGATGAGGATCATCTACCTCCCCTGCTGATTGGTCTATAAAAAATATGTCTAGCACTGTCTAACTGGCGTGAAATTGTACTTTACATCTGCTGTTTTCAGCAATCCAAGCTGCAGGACATTTGACAGCAAACCGCCTTGCGTTGGTTTCGATAGTGGTATCCAGATCTGACCGTTGAGTAAAAGCAGTAGGAAACTATTGCTCGTAAAACTGCCTGATGAAATCAGAAATCGCAACAACAACAACAAAACAAGAAAATTAATGCTAGGATTTATTTTTGCAACGCCTTGTAAAGGATATGCATCTAACGTTTTAATCAGTGTTTCCCAAACTGGGCACTATCGCCCCGGGAGGGAGGGAGCGATGGGACGCTCCGGGGATTGGGATGGGGGCGGTAGCGACCTCGGTTACAGCTGGTAAGCGTTGAATAAAAATAGGACTGGGGCAAAGAGAGAGAGAGGGGGGAGGGGGAGGGAGAGAGATAAAGAGAGGGAGAGAGAGAGACCACTTTTAATTTTGTGAAATCGTTCATACCTTTCACCTTTATCCGCTCCCGCACAGTCTCAGCATATTCACTAGCATGCACACGCACTAAAGGCATAAGTAGAAGGTAGAGGTGCTAACACAGACAGTCCGACACTAGACATACAGTTCGTCGTCGCCGGAAGCAGCAGTTACAAACAGATCAACAGCGGCGCATACAATAAATTCTAATCACATAAGGTATCACCAATTCTGAGCTCAATTTTTTTAAATCTACAGTTCACAACACCACACTGGTCATTGTTGAAAAACATTACAAATGAAATCCGCAGCTCACAGTGTCACGCCACGCACGTAACTCAATAGCTGTGCGACTAAATTATATAATTTCAGTCTACACTTCTGGGAAAACGCAACAGCTGCCGTCTGCCAGTAGCCCAACAAAAATGTGTCACGCCTTAAAATAGTCACCGTGCCTTACACCCTCTTTAAAAAAAAAAAAACATGCATCGACTTTCTCATATCTGTGGGCACCACAGAGAGCAATGTTATACAGATACAACGGTGGCAGATCCAGAGGTCGACTACACAGAATATGGTCCGCAGAAATAACAGAGACACTGAAAAGTACTTTAAACGAAGCGAACAGGACTGCCCGGTCCAGAGATCTCATCCTACTCTGGCGCTGTGAGGCTTTCCAGGAGTAGAGAAATGAAGAGAAGACGAAAATCAACAGTAAATTACTTGGGGCTCTCATGCGCTGAGCACGAGTTCGACCCCCAAGAAAATTATAGTTGCTTCTTCTATCTGTTAAAAAAAAATACATCCTAACCTGCACAATCCGTGGCGACAACACTAGCCATAGGACCCTAAATTCTCAGGTTCGCCACCACCTGTCTACGCCGCCCTAAAAATCAATAAATACTAACTGTAGTGAAATACAACCAGTGAATGAATGAATGACATCGCTGCACGCCGAGCATTCCCGCAAGTGCTCCGTCCCCTTCTTCAGTAACCAACGAAGATTTGTCATGCTAAAAGTACCAGTTACAACCTGATTAGAAGTTCGCCTCTGTGTCCCCTTCAATATTAAATATCGTTCAGTCCCTCTACACCCCTATCTCCCCATCCCGGTTGAACTAGCCCTGTCTGCTACTTTGCACTGTCCAGTTGATCCCATAGAGCATTCACCACATCCGCTTTATCGTATACTAGCTTACCACTAAGAGGCACGGCAGCAACTAATCTATCAGCTTGCTCATTATACAGACAGTAGTGTCATCGACTGTCGATTTGAGAAAGAAAAAAAAGGTGCTAATTATAACAACTCAGCCACAAAATAGCCACGTTAGCACCCTTGTTTACAAAACTCCGACACCCCGGGTACTTATAAAAGCAAATGCAATAGGGCAATGTGTATTGATCGGAAAACGAAACAAATTTATCATCATCATTGTGATAAACTATCTCTTTCTTTTTTTTTTTTTTTTTTAAACAATGCACATTTAATTACTTTGAAATTAACATGAAATCAAGTCAGTTTTTAAATGTATCTTGTATGTTTCTATCATGTTTTTATGAGAAGAAAAAGTGTAATAAAGACTGTCTTTGCTAAACTAAATAATAAGAAAGTGGGCGTGTCCAACTAGGAAAAGGACTGTAGAGTGAAACACGGACTTAATTACCAGTGAACGTTACTCAAGTTTAGTCTGCTTTAAATAGCTATAATTAAATGGAGATTATTTAAACTGTCAAGTTCGTTCGGAATATCATAGTTTAATCACGATAATATCTTAGTTACACATATATAACTTTAGATAAAGAAATAATTCATGTCAGTAGAATTATCAGTTTTCCAAAATGTATGCAATTTGAAATCCCAGAATAGCCAAAATAATTCTTCATGCTTACATTTCCAATAATAACTATATGAAAACGCTATGCATATACCAGTTATAACACAGAAGGGGTGAACATAGTATTGTTGAGTACATTATTAATTTAAAAAGCAGTACGATAATCGTATTTATATTGTACATTCACGTAACAAATCGCTATAGTTTCTAGTGTGAATTGCCAGTTCAGTTGATAAAGATGGCCAGGCTAGTTCCTAAGATCTCAGGCAGAGCAAATCCATTCACTTCACTTTCAAGTGACGACGACGACGACATTGAGGAATGCGATGTCACAGACACGACTACACGGGTGACCTTTCCTGAAGAAATGTTTGAAATCCAAAACCTTGGCGACCGAGATGGAATTAGAAGGCGAGGAACAATCAGAGAAATTTCCAGAACACCTAAACAAGCACCCCCAAAAGACGACACCCTGTTTTCAGTAAAAGATGATGAAAGGTTTTCTGTATTTGAAAAGGTATTTATAAGTAAGATATTTGTTTCATTATTATTGACAGTTCATGGTCGGAATTTGCAGATACAAGTAGGAGAAGACGCCTAAAAACACAGGGAAAAAACTGAAACGTTGAAGAATAATGCTGGGAAGATATTAAAGCAGTGACAGGTGATGTTAAAAGAAAGCATCTCTTTGAACGAGTTGGTTAAAGGTATATACTCCAGTTAATGGAGCAATGATAACGGGCAGTAAATAAAGGAAGAGGATTTATATTATCTCTCTCTCTTTCTCTCTCTCTTTCTCTCTCTCCCACCTCTTCTTCTTCTTCTCTTCCACCTTGTACCTCAGTGAAGTGTCGGGGGGAGATGTGATGTTCGTTGATGAGCTCTGTCATGAGCACTATTAAGACTGATGTTCATTTCTGTAAGGCTGTTCTTAATGCCATCACTCCATATTTTCTGAGGTCTTCCACGCGCTTTATACCCATGGTAACGTTTTAGTGTGGCTCCCACCTCTGTCCCTCTTAATTGTCCTTACCCTAATTTGTTACTTCTTTGGAGGTTGAACAGGGTCTCTGGGATCTGCCTGGTTTGTTTGTCCTCCAGGTTGAGATTCAGTCATCTCAGTCTGGCATGGTGAACCTTTAGATAGTAGCCTGGTGTGCACAAATTGATCTGTGTGTGTGTGTGTATGTATGTATGTGTGCGCGTGCCCCCCCTCCCAGCCCACTCTCTTGCTTCCACTCCCCAGTGTTTAGAAAAACATTCTTCTTCTTAAAGTCCATGCCGTGTGGCATTTGTAGTCATGTCTATCCAAAACTTTCTGTCTCTTGTGTACTTTCAACCAGCTGTGACACAGATGATCTTCCATGCCATGATGTCAGACCATCAACTATCTGTTCTCTCAGTCTCCCTCTGCCTCTCCTACCCTAAAATTTTTCTACTGTCATCACATACTCTAGTTTTATTCTTCTCATCACATGACCAAAAAAAGTAGATTGGTTTTTTTTCTTATGAGGGCAGACAGTTCTCTCCGTTAGTCAGTCTCTTTCAAGACGTCTTCATTACTCTTTTTATCTGTCAAAGGTATTCTCATATTTTATCTATAAAACCACATCTCTGCAGCTTCAAAATAAGTTTTCACTAATTTGCTAACTTTCCATGATTTGCATCCATATATCAGTTTAGGATTTATATAGCTTTTAAGAATTCTCTTTCTCATCTCAATTGATAAAGAAAGATTGCATAAAATATTCTTTATTATGTAAAATGCTGTCTTTACTTGAGCTATTCGACATTTAACTTGGGGTACCCGAGTACTTAAACTAATCAACTTGTATGAGGTTTGTCCCATTTACTTTAATGCTGCATTTTCGAGGGTCAGTTTTCTTTTAACTACAAAATCATTAACATAAGCAAAATCCTAAAAGCATAAAAATATATAATTTCACATCATCATCATCATCATCATCAGGTGCCTTGCCGACTGGCGTGGGCAATCATGCCTCTTCATAATCCACGATCTCCTGCAGCATGTATCAGTTCGTGTGCCGACACACCTCCATGCCATGCAACAAGACTGTCAAGAATCTTCTCTCGTTGTCTTCCTCTATCCCTCCTTCCACAGATCTTTCCAGTAGTCACAACATGTTCTATTTTCCCTCTTCTCATAACATGGCCGAAAAATGATGACTGTCTCCTTCTGATGTCTATGATAAGTTGTCTTCGGACTCCTGCCTCTTTCAAAACCTCTTGGTTGCTCTTTTTGGCTGTCCAAGGTATTCTAAGCATTCTTCTGTAAAACCACATCTCTGAGGCCACAAAAAATTGTTTGGCCTGCCTAACGATTGTCCAGGATTCACATAGCCATATATATATGCAAATATTACCATACAGACCTAACCATACACAACTAACCATAAAAACTTAAGCATACAAACATAACCATATATACATAACCATACACACATAGCTGTACAAAAAAAAAGCAATAAAATCAAACAAATGTAGCAATATAAACATAACCATACAATCATAACCATACAAACTTAAACAAACATAGTCATGCAAAAATTACCATACAAATGCAACCATACAAGCCTGACCATACAATTATAGCAATACACACATAACCATACATACATAACAACCATACTACTTCATCTGCATTCATCCAGAAATATAACTGCGTTGTGCCCATTTACAGCATGGCTGTGATATTAGCACTTTTTGGCTGACACACCAAGCTTCTGCAGGCATTTGTTGACCAGGTTAGCCTTTCTGATAACAACATGTAATCATAACCATACAAATATAACCCTACAAATATGACCATACAAATATGACCATACAATATAACCATACAATATAACCATACAATATAACCATAAAATATAACCATACAATATAACCATACAAACAACCAAGCAAATGTTGCAACACAAAAAAACATCATACAAACATAGCAATACAAATATAAAGATGTAAACATAACCATGGAAACATAGTTACAAACATAACCTCACAGACAGAAGAAAATAAATATAACCAGACAAACATAGAGGTACAAACAAAATCTTGCATCAGAACACAACAAACACAACCATGCAAACATGGCTGCATAGTATACAAAATAACTATATAAGTATAGTTTCATAACATGATTATACAAACATGATAAAACAAAAACAACCATGCAAACATAGCCTTTCAAACATAGTCTTACAAACAAAGCCTTACAAACATAGCCTTACAAACATAGCCTTACAAACATAGCCTTACAAACATAGCCTTACAAAGAGAAGTCTACCAATTCTGCCCCAAACACCGAGCTATATATAACTATGTGCAACTGCCAAATGTTTTAGAACACCAACATTTTGTGGGTGACAAATTCTAACCAGTGGCAATAAAAATGTGTATACATTTATATTTTATTGCTTGTATCATAATTAAACGCATCAGATCAGCATTCTGGCATTAAAATAGTGTGGCAATAGTAGTGTTGAAGTTGAATTTAGGGATAGGAGGCATAATATAAAATTATTGCACAGTGACTTCATATAACTAAAAAAAAAAACCCTGCCTATGTAAATAGTAAAGTAAATATTCCTTTTCATGTCTTTAGGCACATCGGGCATATGGGAAGAGCTTCCATATTTTTTACAGACCAGTTGGCACATGGTGGATAATGTGGTCACCATTACGCTGGCCGTCTTTACTTTCCGAGGACATTACATCCTGGTACATATTTTAGACTGGGTCAACCTGCGATGCCCCGTACCATGATAAAAATCCACGCAGTCAGCAGTGCGTATCGATCATTTTATATTGGAATTACGAGTCGGACTCACAACGCCTAAGCTTAGGACACTGCTTGCCTATGTAAATGTTAACCAAACAACATAACCACAAGAAGCAAATGCCTAGAAACAATCTTACAAATAAACATAAACATAAACATAAAAAGAGAGCCACAAGTATTAATCAGCCCCTTTCTTCTGAACTTCATTCCCAGTCGTTCCAAACACCCTTTTTTTCCACTTGCCTATCCAGCCTGCTTTTCTGAATACCACCGTCTTTAGGGCCTCAGAACAGATCTCCCCTTGCTTGTTCATTGTCTATAGACCATTTCAAGAATTGTGTCCAACTTTAAAAATCTATAACTCACTAACCATTTGATTTAAATTGTTGAAATGTGGCGTGCAACCTGTTAATGATCATGTCCTTGTAGGAAAATAATTATAAGATAAACAAACATCTAGTTTTTATTTTGCCCTACTTGTGATATATGAAAAAACAGACTCTGTTTCAAAGCATTCAATTAGCATGTTTATGTGACATAAAATGTCTTGAGGCCAAGTTGGCAAAACATCAAGTTACACGTGTTCTGGGGATAACTAGGGCACACATATTTTGAACAGTAAAGAGGATATGCTCTAATATTATATTATTTTCTGATCCCAGGGTCGAGACTATGAGCCTGTGTACATAACTCACCAGTACACAGAGCAAGAGATAGACACCCTCAATACATACGAGAGCTGTGATTATTTGCCAAGCCATAGTCACATCTACAAGCACTGGATCAAGCGACAGTTGATTTCAAAGTTGGTAGCATGTTGTATTCAGCATTTTACCATGTTTGTAATTGTTACTGGAAACACAGACAACTTTAATATTTTGGTAACTTGAAACATCACGACAGCTTAGAGAGAACAATAATGGAGGGGTATATGCCTGGGGAGAGAGGAAGAGGAAGGCCAAAGAGAAGATGAATGCAGCTTGTGGCGGATGATCTCCAGATGAATGTATCGGACGCGGGACATCTTGCTTGTGATCGAGAAGTTTTCCGGAGGGTTGTTGTGGGAGCAAGGTTCTGCAAAGGGCAAGCTACTGACTGACTGACTTACTGACTGACTGACTGACTGACTGACTGACTGACTGACTGACTGACTGACTGACTGACTGACTGACTGACTGACTGACTGACTGACTGACTAAATTGTTACAAGTGATGATGATTTGAGGAATTGAATGTAGTTATAAGCTGATCAGGTTCTTTAGTCTGGCATTATGCAATGGTAATCAATGCCAGCACACCTTTTTGTAGGCATCATTTTTCCAGGGCTACTATAATCCTGCATTAGACTTTACTGCCATAGGATACTGCTCCTAGAACCAGTGGCAAAACTCCATGGTCCCTAGAGACTGACGGTTGCCTACAATAATCTTTTATTAAATTCTTGTGAGCAAAATATAATTTGTCATTGTCTGTCTGTAATGTCAACACTAGCCGTTTACAGCCAATTCCCCCCTCCCCCTTTTATGTCTCAACCAACACATACTGTTTACAACCAATCCCCCCCCCCCTTTTCGACCCTCTTTTCTGTCCCAACCAACATACACTGTATGGCATGCTAGTATCTGTGCACATCAAACAAGGTAAATTGTATTTTTTTTTTATGTTTTTAATTTTTGGTCTTAGCATACTAAACAACTCTGGCTAGATGTTTCAACACACAGTACCTGGTATATCGAATACAAGGTGTTTGTATGTTGCTTTTTTAGATGTAAGAAACTTGTGCTGTTCCTTGTGTCATTATTTTTCATTTGGACATCTGCTATGAATTCATCTATGGCTGAAATCATTAAAACATACTGAAACATGTTTTCTTGACATCCTGAACTAACTTGATTATTTTACTGAAGATGCTTTCCTCTTCTCTGGCAGACTTGAAACAGATCGATGGATTATGATGGGACTAATTGGCGTCGCTGTTGGCTTCATAGGATTTCTTCTTCACCAACTGATAGAGAGAATAGGGGATTTGAAATGGCAAACCACAAAATCTTTTTTAAAGGTAATCAGTTTTTCCTACCTTCGCTTAATCTTCCACCTCCTTTTTTTCTTCCACTCCCTTTTCCGGTGCTTTCTTTATGGCCAACCACAAATGAGGTCATGGAATTGTCCAATATTTTAGAGGGTAGTAAGAGCGGTTTTCGTGGTTTCTGTGTTTTAGCCCGTTTCTGCCAAGGTGAAGGTTTTTGTGTGTTTACCTAACCCTAACATTAACCAAAACTATACGCATAATCTACCACCCCTTGAAATATTTAAATGTCCCGTGACCTGGGGACTGTCCCTGTTTGTAGTCTGCTAATAAGAAAGTACCCCTTTTCCTTCTTCACATTCCTCTTCCTTCTCCCTCTCCTACCATAATAATTTAGTTTCTTCTTTTTGTGACCTTGATCCGCTTTTCGGCAAATGCTCTCAGCCAAAACTTACATCAAGCCACCCTATTTTCTGAATAAGCTCCATAGCCATCTTATGTTTCTGTTTTTAAATCTGATCTCTGTGTGCTTAACATTTTTCTGTATCTTTTTTGCTTTGTGGGTTCCCGTACAGTGACCTTCTAGCTATACTGTTAGAAAATTCTTTCACTGCGTCCTGTCAAGCCCCACCTGTTTCTGCACATTTGTATAGATGATGCAATCATACAGATACAATTAAATATTGCTACAGTTTATTTTTTTAAGACAGTGGAAATTCCTACGCTTGGATGAATTTTTTTTTTTAATATTGAATGTAACTGCATTGTACATATTTATGGCAGAGCCAAGATTTTTGTGCTTTTTATTATCCAACATCTTCAAGCATCTGTTCAATGAGCTAGTCTCACCAGATATCTTTAATTTATAAAATTTATTTAACTTTTATACATATTTCTTACAATCTAATTATACAAGAGAAGAAGATCTTTACAAACAAAACATTTTTTATTGTTTCTATATGCCCATTAAGGCCTGCCTCATCTTTACATAAGTTTTTTCATCTGTCAAAAATGTATGTTGTACCTGCTGTTATCTTAGTATATACAGTACAATCTTATATGTCACAAATTTACGTTGTCCCTGATGTAATCTTAGCATATGTGACAGGCAAAGAACAGCTATTAATTTTAGACGGCAATGTGAAGAAACCTGGCCAGGGTGCATAAAAACTCAAAGGGCCCAGGAAACGCTCTAATTTTAGCTTTCTGCCTTCTACTGGCCTGGTCTGGTGGCATACTGAAGCTTAACGTACATGTTAATATGTTTCGGTTTTTGCGATATGTTAATTTTGTGTTTAGTAAAATAATCAGCTGTGACATTATAGTTCCAGTTGTTTGATTAGAGTGAGGACTGGTATTTATTGGTGTCTGGTTTTACTGTTACTGCTATCTAGACTGTATACAAAAGATCTCCTGTCTGAACTAGAACAATTCTGGTTCTACTCCTCGCCTAACGAACTCTTTTTATTTTTCTTGGTAATTGGACCTTTTGCTTCTAGTACACACACAAACAGTAAAACCTCATCTGTCACAAGTTTATGTTGTCTCTGATGTAATCTTAGTATATACAGTAAAACCTCACCAGCATGAATTCCAAGAGACCAACAAATCAGGAGTTCATGTTTAAAATATGCATGCTTACCAGTGATTAATAGATCTTTAATGAATAATCCATCCCTGCTGGGATAAAATTTTATTCACATTGACTAAGTGTTTATCTTAAGTAAGTTCATGTTAATGAGGTTTTACTTACAGCAATCATAAATTCTTTCAGAACCAAACATTTTAACATGAATTTGTTGGTTTCAACTACATGATATACTTTTCTGAACTCCTTGCAAATAACTGTTATAATTCTTAATTACCTCCTCCCCTCCCACCCCCACCCCACCCCCCAAAAAAAAACCAAAAAAAAAATTATCACAGCTATTCAGACTGAAACATTGATTAATTAAATTTGATTAATCAGTGTAATAAATTCCCTTGCCCTCCCTTTCTGGGGGAAAAAGAATCGATCGACTGCCTCCTTAACAAGTAAGTTGTAGAAATTACTAATTCAAGGTTTTCTTTGAAGCTGGAGTTCATCTGCCTGAGAGGCACACACAAAACGACAATCTGCATACAGCACATCTATAAAATTTAAAACTCAAGTTCTGAAACAAGACTCAGAATTGGATGAACAACCAGAACCTTCCACCGCAGATTACAACTGGTAAATGTGAAAGTAATAAATTCTTAAAACAGAATAAATTTATATGAGTTGCTTGATACTGATAGCGTTAACATGTGAGTGTGTTCGTTAAAAAGCTCTTTATTTTTACAGGAAGAAAAACTATGGCAAGGTTGGCTCTTCTGTACAGGCTACAGTGTGGTCTTTGCTGTTTTTTCCGCAGCCATCATTGTGGTAAGTTGACGCCAGATTGTTTTGGCCAAAACCTTTACCAAATGTTTTTGGTTAATCTTTTAGGAAACTTTCTGTTTGTTCAATTGTTGTTGGTTATTTTTAAACAAGTTGTAATTTTAACAAATTCATAAATGTTCATTTCTTCTTAGAAGATTTCAAAATATTTTAAGAATGTAAGTAAAATCACAGATAAGTTCCAGCGGGTCTCCTTGCCGTGGCACTGTGGTTAAGCCATTTGCCTCCCACACTGAAATTCTCAGGTTCAATACACAGACTTTGCCATTGGGTCAGGAGTACAGTTTTTAGAAGATTCCCAGGTACTGTTACCGGAGCTGCAGAGTTTGCATGAATGCTCATCTTGCTGTTCTATCGCAGTTAAAGTCAAGCCATATGGAATTTTTTTAAACTTTAAACTTTCTCGACTTCAAACGTTTAACTTTTTAAATGTTTCAAGGTAACATACTAAAATGTTTATACAAATTTGTAATTAATTTATGCATGAAAGTTGATACGATTATATCTGTGAATCCTTCAGTTAAATAAGTAAGTTCTGTGAGAAGTTAATCCGATATGAGTTTATCTCCTAGTATGCCCCAGTTGCATTTATCAGTCTGAACTTTCTTTCTTGCAGTTGTGGCGTCCAAGTGCTGGAGGCTCAGGCATGGCTGAAGTTACTGGCTTCTTGAATGGAACTCAGGTCAGGAGGATATTCAATGTGAAAACTATGGCTGCCAAGTTCTTGTCTTGTGTTGCTGCCATTGGTTGTGGCATGCCTATTGGGCCGGAAGGACCAATGGTTCATCTGGGGTAAGTACTTTATGTTCGTCCAGATTTTTTCTGAAAGTTGTAGAAAGAATAAAACCGGTTCTGCTGTGAATCTTGGAATGTCAGTCAAGAAATTAAGAGGAATTCGGAAGCAACAGAGATGTTATGAATACCATGGGCGGCCAGAGTAACTAACAACGATTGTTTGAAAGAAGCTAAGGAAAGTATATCTCTATATACAACAATAAGAAAGAGACAAAAACTGTTCATTGGCCACATAATGAGAAGAGAGACATTGGAGAACATCGTGACAACTGGAAAGATCAGTGGAAAAAGGGGTAGAGGCAGACCAAGAGAGATGATGCTGAATGGGCTGAAACGATGGCACGGAGGGATATTATCAAGAGAGCTGTTCCAGCAACCAGGGATCGTGATCTGTGGAAATGCATAAGCGCCTATGCCAGTTAGCAAGGCACCTGATGATGAGGATGTAGAAAAAAACTATATATGAAATCTTTATTCCAACATTAGGTTATCAGTGTGAGACTTGAACATTACCCAAAGAAAATTAGAGAAACCTGTGAAATTAGATGTTTGAAAATGGCTGCAAAGTCAGAAGAGATCATGTGAAAAATGAAGAGATAAGAAGAATTGTTGGAACAATACCATTTCTTTTGTTAACACTTATTTTATTTGACTAATTATAATAAAATATATTTCTCTGACAGCGCCATAGTTGGAGCAGGTTTCAGCCAGACATCTTCTTCAACACTCAAGATCAAACTTCCATTTTTTGAGAGGTTCAGGAATCCTGAAGACAGGTAAAAGTTGCAGTTATAATACAATAAAACCTCGCTATAGTGCATTTAGAAATGCATGCCAATGTTCAAACAATTATATCTCAGCTGTAGTGGAATATAAACGGATGAAATTATATATTAATATTTACTTCATTCTCAACGTTATGTCAGATTTTTTTTTACCCGCAGAAAAATTAATTAGAATTTATTTTTGCTGATTTGAGGTATATAAATAATATGATGATCCTTGCTGGACTGTCTTTTAAGAGCTATACAGCAAAAATTTCAAATATAGCTAATCAACCTTTCACAAAAACATGTGAATCTTGTGATGTACGTACATTCTGAATAAGACCATGACTGTTGCATTTAAGGTGTCGATACGCTCTAAAAAATCTGTTTGTTGCCAAGTTTTGTCAGAAGTTAGAAAACGTACTTGTGCGGTTCTTGTCTTATCAGAATGGCGCTGAATGTTAAATTTATTACAATAAACACTATACATTGCAATTATTTATATATTTCTCATTTGAGGCTAACTGTATGATTCTATTTCAAACCCAGAGAAAAGAACAAAATATGCCCTAGGTATAACTGACTGGATTAGATAAGAGATAATTCGTTCTACAGGAGAAAGGACAAACGAAAATTGATAGCTGTGACAAAGAAGTTATTAAACAAGCAATGTACAGACTGTTGGACAGTACATAATTATTGATGCTGAAGAAATAAAAATGTAGACTTTACCAGACCGCTGGCCCGCTATTACGGGAATTTCCTAATCTGCCGCTAAACCGCTATCCCTTAATGTCGGGAATTTGCGTACTATGAGAAAACAATGCGTCACAAAATAAAAATAAATAGCCAATCATTATCAGACCTCGTGGTTAGTAATTGAGAATTGCTGCCCACGTGTGTCTGGATTTTCTTTGCATTGTTTGACGGGAAAAAATTCTGAAAATTCACAATAAAACGAGCAGCTGTTGAACCAGGCACTTCAACAGGAAAGTGAAATAGGTCTAGGCTTTTCAGTCAAACAGGTGATCGGTACTTTAGTTGATCTAGACTCTTGAGGAGTCAGATTTTCATGAAGAATACGTTCCTAGTTAAAGTGATACAATCAGAGTGATGAGGAGAGTCTTGAAAATTATAGATGTAAAACTAGATCGATAGTAAGAAAAGGGGGCGTGTCCCCCAAACAGCAACAGCAACAATGCCGATCTTTCTAGGTGGAATTGCACACAAAGGTAAACGCTAGATGAAAGGTAAACCTATTTTCTACAATGTCTCCAAGTTTCAACTTATTCTAACCACTTGTTTGCATGTAACTAATATTTTTGTATATCATGTTGGTTTTTGGTGTTGATGCCCAGGAGCTCAGGTATAGGAGGTCTGGTAGGGTTAGAACCATAGCATTGATATTTCCAAAAGGAAATTATAGAATAATTGTAAGAGGTGCAGGGACTAATGCCTCCATTTAAACAAGCGCACAAACACATCTAACTTCTTTCATACATTGGTACTTTGATTCACGTCGGTACTGTAAAGTTTGTTTTGCTACCTAACTAAAGTCACACAAGAGATAAAAATAACAAAGAAAGCTTGTGTTAATAAAAGTGGGTCATGTGTATATTATTTATGTATAAAACAGTAACATTAAGATGACAATAAGAGCCAGGGCAAAAAAATCATGTTCTGGGACTGAATAAATACCGAAATATTACAACGGCAAGAAATTGAAAATGAACTATAAGACGAATTCTAAGGGACCAAACAATCAAGACTGTTTTTATGTGTTTTAAAAATGCGTGCTTACTGTGGACTAATAGATGTATTATGTGTGGTACATCTCTGCCAGGACTGAAATTGTGTTTGTGTTAACCGAGTGTTTGCTTTAAGTGACTTTGTGTTTTTGAGGTTTTACTGTATATACAATGTTGCCAGTAGAACATAAGGTCAGACATGACGTTAAAAAAGCTGGCACAGTTAGAAGTCTTTAGAAACCAAGAAACAATATATTTTAAAACATTTAGATACTGATGTCTGCTGTGTAGAGGAGATTCTTTTTTAGTATACGAGATCCCTGTGTGGGTTCCGGGGCTCTATTATAGGGAAAACAAGAATAGACCCACTGCCAACCCACAAGCATGTCTTAAGAGTCGACTAATTGGGAGCTTTCTTTGAAGTCGGAGTGCATTTGCCTGAAAAGCAAGGAACCAACAGTCAGCAATACAAATTAGTCAGATCTGTCAAACGGATGCACACGCAAAACTTAGGTTCTGGAACAGGACTGCAGTCCAGAAGTGGACGAACAATCAGAACTTTCCACCGGAGTTTACAGCCGGTGAACAAGAAGAAGAAGAAGTATACAAGAAACTGGAGAGAACAGTGATGAAGGGTGTACTTTCTAGATATTAAAGATGCAGTGATAATAAAAGCACATAGGGCTGGAGAACTGGCTAGAGAAAGAGACTTTTGAGCATGCCGTAAAGAGTGCAATGTTCTGCAAAGGACCTGATGATTGATGATGATACCAGAAAGCTACTTTGTCAAGTCAGATCTGGGTCAGAGATGACTACGCTGCTAATAACAATAATTAGTACTGCCTATTTTCTCTGGAGTTGCTGTGGCATAGCAGCTAGATGCTCATCTGTGCATCGGAAGGTTGTGGGTTCGCTTCCTGGCGGAGCCAGACTTTTTTTCAAACATGACCTTGGCTCCCGGGTAGACCATAGCCTTGAGCGGGTACCAGGTGCAGTCCTGGGAAGTAAAGGTGGCCGGCGTGATGCTGACCACATCACCCATCTTGTGCCGATTGGTTTTTAAAAATATAGGTAAGCCTTATATGCCCTATGTGCCTAAAGTTGTGGAAAAGGGTCCTTACAACACTTTACTTATTCTCTCTGAATGTTGGGCAGTATATAACAAACCTGATATTCTTAGGCGACCCCTGTGAAAGGGTCGTTCCACTCACAAAAGGGTCGTAACCCACAGGTTGAGAATGCCGCTGCTTTAAAGAAATGTTTAACATGATTTGTTAGCTACATTTTAAATTTCTTATTTGCAGACGTAATTTTATCTCCGCCGGTGTGGCTGCTGGGGTGGCTGCAGCTTTTGGTGCTCCGGTGGGCGGCCTTTTGTTTTGTATGGAAGAAGTCTCCTCATTCTGGAGTCGTACATTGATGTGGCAAGTGTTCTTCTGTTGTATCATTGCCACATCCACATCCGACATTTTCAACTCCACCTTTGAAAGGTTTCAAGTGATTGGCATGTTTGGAGAGTTTCGAACAAGCAGATATATTTTGTTCAACGTGAGTGATTTCTAACTAAACAGTGTTCCATGATTATGTTTTGAACATTTAAAAAAAAAGCAATATTCTTTTTTGGCTGGAGAGAGTGTGTAAAAACGATAACTGGCTGAGTTCAGTGGGATATGATGGGAGATAAATATAATGTCTGTGTTTCTCTTCCTCTGGCATTCTATCTGTTTTTGTCTTTTTTTGAATGTTCACTTTTTTCTGTCTTTGTATGTCTCTCTCTCTTTATTCTCCCTGTTTATATCTCTCTGTTCTCATTTTTACTCTATATCCTCTCTCTTTCTGTCTCGCTCATTTTGTCTTTGCTCAGTGTATTAACCTCAAGAAACAAGCACAGACTAAACAAGATTTTGACACAGAATTCTGAAATCCTGTTTGGTCGTTTTTTTTCCCTCAGGTTGATGAAGCTGTGGATATTAATGTGCTCATGTTTATACCATCCGTAATGATTGGAGTTATTGGAGGCCTGCTTGGATCTCTGTTCACAATCCTTAACTTGAAGATTCACAGGCTGCGCAAGAAAATCTTGACCTCCATACAGTCAGCCATTGTTGTCAAAATTCTACGTCTGCTGGAGCCAGCACTTATCATGGTACAGTTTGTTACCTACATGTGTTTGTGTTCATTCTTCTTCTTCTTTTTCTTCTTCTTCTTCTTCGCGTTCACTCTGGCGGAAAGTTCTGGTTGCTCGTCCACTACTGAACTGCAGTCCTGCTCCAGAACCTAAGTGTTGCATGTGCATTAGTTTTACAGATCTCATTCTCTTGAATACAGACTGTTGGTTCCTTGCCTCTCCAGCAGATGCACTCTGACTTCAAAGGAAGCTCCCCAATTAGTCGACTCTTACGACATGCTTTTGGGGAGGCAGTGGGTCTATTCTTGTTTTCCCCACAATGGGGCCCCGGAACCCACACGGGAGTTTTGTGTTAAATGTATTTCCCAGGATGCAGGCGTGTTTAACCAAAAATGATTGTGTTGCAAGACCAGGCTCGTACAGGTCGAGACCTGCCTACACTTCTCTGTGTTCAGCCTAGCAACACATAACAGATCCTAACCAGAGCCTGGGTAGCTTACATAGAATCATTTAACTCTTTGGGTCCCAGGAAATGCATCATTTGCTAATTTGTTACAACACAGCGGCCCAGTCGACGTGTGACAAGTGAAGGTTTTTAATTTACCCCTGACCGCTAATAAAACTCGGACTGCTCAATTTCAACTTCTTTTTGAGTTCCTTGCGTCTGATATCAGACGCGCTTATTATAAACATGGTTTAAATGTAAAAAAATATAGTATTTTTGTGAGGTTTACCGAGTTACTAAATGTTTGTTTGAAAACAGTATGGCCACCGTGCAGTGCTCTGCATGCATGCCTACATGTTTTACGGCTTCAGAAACCTCAGATTAAATTGAAGCACGTGTTTATTAGATTTATCTGAAGTTAGGTAGATAAAGTTGCGAAGTAGACTTGTTTAAGTTACAAAGTCAAGCTTTGATGAGGGATAGGTCTAATGTGTACCTTACGTGAAGGGTACAACGATAGAAAGTCAGCTGACACAAGTACTAGTGAAAAGGCGAATTTCTTCTGTGTATGTTAGTTCAGTGCTATTCCTCTCATCATTTAGGAACATAGCTACAAAATTACAGGCAAATTGAGTGTTATGTAAACTTAATTTTGTGTGAAGATACTAACTGTTTTATGAAGTCAGTTTTCTTTATCAAATAATGGTGCTCTGTTATGATGCTTCAAACGATTAGCTGGAACATCATCTATTGCACAGATTGATTTTATATTTTACTTTTAAATTACTAAGTGGTTCATATTCATTTGTGATTCAGTTTGGAAATAGTTTAGCCAGTTTCCCTTGAGTGGCATGGTGGTAAGTGGAAATTTTTAAATTTTATGTTACTAATTTCAGTAAACATACCATCTGTTTATTTACTAATATTTAATTACTAATGCAATTATTTGTTGTAGCCATATTCTATTATTATTCTCCAACAATCCCTGGTCACTTTGATGGATAATATGTGTATGTTGCTTGGCAGTTAAATTAGTATTTTCTGTTTTAATGTGTTTGTTACACTTGTGAAATTAAAAAATTGCATTTCCACCCCTTGGGCCTCTGATGCTAAACCCCCTGGGACTCAAAAAGTTTAAGTGAGAATAAAAGGTGAGGAACCAACAGTCTGCATACAAATAAGACAGATTTATGTTTACAAAAAAAAAGGGAAGAAGAACAAAAAAAAAGAAGATACCAGAAGCATTCTGATTGTATCACACATCTTGCCTTTCCTCTGAGTGTTGAGTGTTGGTAGAGATCCTCTGGTTACTCCCTGTTGAACCATTCTCTTCAGACAGGCCAGAGTTGACCAGCAACAAAATGGGCACGAGATATTGGTGGCTCTGAGAATGGAAATTTACAAGACAATGGAATTGTTAAAAGGGTCCTGTCACTGTCCAATGGACCACGGATAAGTGTTATGTTCTTAGAGATGATATATCTGTTCCACCATATTTGTCTACATTACTACCTAAATCAGTGTGAGATTCCACCTCTTGAAGGGGAGTTCACTCCAGTTTGATTGCTGATTTACTCAGTATTAATTTAATGCAGTCATCACTAAATATATTTTTGTCCTTCAGCTGATTATGAGCTCTTTTGCTGTCTTTTTGCCGATGGCTTTTAAGTGCATTCCATTTACCTGTATCCGGGGTAATTCTGGCATTCTCAGGTATGTATTTCTTTTGTATATTATCAGTTTCTTTGTTTCTTGTGTTTGCTAAAAGAACAACTGATTTCATAGCAGGAAATTTTATAAAAATATGTAATAATAAAACTTCAGATGTAGCAAGTCATTATGAATTAGCATGTCACTTTAATTTTCACCAGGAAATTTTGCTCTAAATTTGTTATCTATATGCTAGGGCTATTTTTTTGTGGTGGTGCACAGTACCGGCACCTTTTTAGGTTAATTTTTAAATTGCTAATGTAATAGAGACTTTGTGTTGAGTGCTGACACTTTTGTTTTCTAGAAAAAAAAAGTCCTGGCTACATGTATTAAAGTTAATTAAGCCCAGTTTTGTGCCAATGAGGCACATTGTGAATGTTTTGTTGGGCTTATAGTTCCAACAACTGACTGGCCCATGAGGAGTAATATAGTCTATGTCTTCTCTGTGCACTGAAACTTGGCCAAGTAAACCTTTGGTAGCTGTTGGTAAAATGTTCGGCTCTAGAGCAATGTTGTTCTTGGAACTTTTCCATCTTTCCACGTGACAGTATTCCAGGAAGACATGGGAATTATAGTCCATGGCAACAGCATGTGTGATAGCAAAAATCGTCAACAACCATATTAAAAATTCAACACATGCTAAGTCTTAGTCTTAGTTGAGGTTCCAACTTCACTGGAATTGGGTCACCCCATACTTGCTCCATTTCTGCGGCAATGAAAATCAAACGAAATGTTCCTCAATGTCCCATTTGAAAAACTGGTTAAAAAAAAATTGTCCCGGAAAGTCAAGAAATATGTGCACACAGTAACTGCATGCGGCAGTTGTTAGAGGGGCCAAAGCCAACAGTCGCCACTAGAAATGCAGTTTGTCAGTGATGGAGGTACTCGGTAACAATAAGTTGGTTCATAGACACATAAAATTATTATATATTTTATCAGCCCACAGGTAAACGGGTTATCAGAAGTACTGAGTACCATGACACAAAAGCTGCACAAATAAAATTTGAAACAGTATTTTCCCATAGGGAACTTATTTAATTAATGATAATAGTAGTCAATAAAATACAAACAGGGCACAACATATGGCTTGTTAATGCACAATCTGAAAGGCTAATACAGCTTTGCATGAACTCCTGTTGTCACAGCAAAGAGTAAAAACCACACACAAAAACTTGAGTTTTCAAAGTCAAATGTTTTCTTTTCTTTTCTTTTTTCTTTGGTACTCATGCTCATCAAGTTCCTTGCCAGCTGGCGTAGGTGTTCATGCATCTCCAAAAATGTAGGTCTTTAGTGTTCTGGATCATTTCCATTGAGGATATACCCAATGTCTTAAACCATCGACCATAATTTTTCTTGGTCTGTCTCTGCATCTTCTACCAGTGATCTTTCCAGTTGTCACGATATTTTCCAGTGTTCATGACCAAAGAACTTTGTTTGTCTCCTTCTTATTGTTGTATATAATGTTCTACTTTTAGTTTTGCACTGGCACTGGTGTATGAATACAAGACTAATGACAGTGAAATATGAAGAACCTGTGGAGAAAATATTACAGCCTAGTCCTGATGGCATCAATTCTATATGTGATGTGATGACATCAGACTATTATGGTACATTAGAATTTGAACTCTGCTCTATGTATGTTCCCTGGCTATGTTTTTGAGAACAAAGAATAGAACCACTGCCCCCTTAACAAGCATGTCATGTCTTTCATATACTTATCAGGGGTATTTTTTCTTCAAAGTTAGAGTGCATCTGAGAGGCAAGAAACCAACAGTCTGCAAAAATTAAGCCAGATCTGTAAAATAGATGTACATGCAAAACTGGATCAAGACCAAAGTCCAGGAGTGGATGAACAGCCAGAATTTTCTGCTGAAGTGTTCAGCTGGAGGACATGAAGAAGAAGTTTATGGGCTTAGGTGACAGAGAGCTATGTATAATTATAGACAATCTTTACCTGCATAGAACTGCAGGTTACAACCAGCTGGTGTAGCCATCGTCAGACTTCTAGTTATAACTTCTTTGGAGGTCGAAGGGGGTATCTGTTGTGAGGCCCCTTTAGGAGCAAGTGATCAGTGCACAGACGAAAATAGATCATTACGGTCTGAGGTGAAAAATGATGTGGGGAGTTACTACTGGGATCTCCCTGATGCTGAACACTCAGGGGAAGGGTGAGACGGATGTACAATCAGTTACTGGTACCACTGGAACGCTTCCCTTGCTGCTGAAGATGGGAACAAAGTGCCTGTGATAGTGTCCCAGGTGATATCATGTTGATTCTTCATTCAACAATCTACCTTTAGGGGGTCTCTGGGATTTTCCCAGTTTTTCAAACCTCCTATGACAGGGATTTATTGCAGAAGATGTACTTTATTTTAAAAAATGCACTGGTTTTGTTTTCTTAAATAACTTTTCAACAAATAATTTGTGTTGCTAGAAAAGTGGCTACATCTGCCAGACTGATAGAAGCAAGCTTTTTTCAGGGCTCAGATGACTAGAACATCAGGGAATCAAACTTGAGAGTTGTATCCCTTTGCTCTACACTAGTGGTTCCTGATCAGTTAAAGGATCTGTAAATCTCTCTTATTTTCAAAGATCTGCCCAGGACTCCATTCTTTTCATTGTCATCCTGAGGAACTTATCACAATTTATAAATATTAGAATTGTGAAACTTATTGCATTTTGAAGTTTACTCTTTTGGTAATTGAAAGTTTCACAGGAGATGCCAAAGGAAAGAAATGACATGGTGTAAAATCAGTAATATATTACTTTTCACAAGTGGCGCTATCCACATTGATAATTACCATTGGCACAGCCAGATTTCTTCAGTATCTTCTGACTAAATGTTGTAAGTAAGAGGACACAATATGTAATGGAGGAAAATCAAGATATAAAGTTACCTACACACCAGTAATTGCTTGGGATCGACAAAGTTAAGGGTGTTTTGTAAATTTTAAAAATTGTTTTATAAATTATGTCACTGACCCCTTAAATTTGTTCACCAAATTCTCCGCAGTCTGTGAACAACCAGATAGCAAATACGTTTCTAGACAATTCATAATCAGTCAATCAACATTCAGTTATATACCATTCTAGCTGTTATTTAATGAAAACACTAAAAGTGTTTCTGATATTTTATTAATATGCTTTTGTTATTTGTTGATGTATGCAGTCAGTATTGCGTAAATGATACTACAAACAAGTATGACTCACACTATGTTGAGGAAAATATCTTTCATACGTGTGAGACAGGAAGTAGCCATCAAAATGGGTCAACTCTTGTCTACAATGGAACTTACAATGAATGTGAGCACTTTTGAAATCTATATGTATAATGTTGTTAACATTGTGCATACATTTATAGAGACATTTGATTACATTTGTCTTTTAATTATTTACATTTGTCGCCCCTTTATATAGCCAATGAATCAGTGCCTTTCAGCTAATAACTCTGCGGTCACGTGTAACTAACCACATGTCCTTACCATTCATCTCCGTCTTTAATTTTCTTCTTCATGTGTTTTTCACTGCTAAGAATACGAGAACTGGGAGTGAAGATTAGCACAGCCAAGCATGAGAAGCACACCGGATGCACGCAAAGTCTTGTTAACCAACAAAGGACTGGTACTATTAACTGTGCGACGCTGATGAAAATGTTGAGAGGGGAATCTGAGCGCCTATGGATGTGTCTGAAGTGCTGTGAAGATAATCTAACTCATAACATATTTCAGTCTTTATTTTTGTTTTTTGCACTGTCATTTCCAGTACAAGGACAAACTACTTACAATAATTAAGTAACTATTAAAATAATATTTTCTCAATTCTACATACAAAATTATGTGAGAAATATTGGAGGACATGATAACTGGAAAGATCAGTGATAAACAAAGATAGAAACAGCAGGGGGAAAAAGAAACAGATGCTGGACTAAAACATGGAAAGATGCTATTAATAGAACTGATTCAAACACTCATAAGAATGAGATCTATAGAAAGATACAAATGAGTGTGCTATGTGACAAGGCACATGATGATGCTGATTATGACATCTGAACTTCCACCCTTCTGTTTAATGATAAACAACAGATATCACTGTGTATACCAGTACCTGTAAAGTAAAAAAAAAATAATTGTACCACTGTAATTCACTAAGCATGTCTTAAGAGATGACTAAGGAGGGTTGGAACAAAATCTTAGCCACACAGTTTGTCCTAGTATCGGATTCGCAGATCATGCTCAGAAATGTGGAATCAGGTTTTCTTTTGAATAGGTCACATCAATCTAGAGGATTCAGATGGTGACAGTCGCATGGATATTTTGCCGTGGTCATGCAGGTGTGTTTGGGAATGAGCAAACAGAGACTGACCCCACCAGGGGTGTAGTGTGACTGTGCAAGGGAGAAGTGAGCTTTCATCTGTGGAATGAGGTAACAGATAAAATGGAAGGTATTGAAAACCTGTACCTGGAAAGAATGATGCAGCAGGGAGTGTCTGTGGGCGGCTCTAGGGAAGACTCAAGAGGAAAGGCAAGACAATTAGTTGACCAGATGACATTGCATACCATCAGAATGGAGACTTTGTTGACTGTTGAATAGAGAGACAGACAGAACTAATATAGGATTGTCCCAAATGCTGTGAAGTCGGATCTTTACCCACCTGACCAAAATTAGAAGGGTTGAAGCAAGAATGGCTACCTCATCATACTGACAATTTTAGGAGAAAAATTTACCCATCATTGATAGTGGCAGACATTAAAAGCACGAGAGAAGAGATGACTGTGTTATGTAACTCAAACCTGCTGTATGGTGCAGAAACCTGGAAAAGGAACAGGTAAGTCAGATTTGGTTATGGGATTTCCTATATACAGAAAAATAGACTGTATTTCATAGACATAAAATTTTAATATGGATATTCTGAAAAATCTAGGAATGGAAATAGGTATGTAACGAAAGAGAAAATATGCCAATAAAAAAAATGTTGACACACACACAAAAAAAGTTATTCCTCTCCAGCATTGTAGTCTATGAGATAAACACGCCAAGGATGAGAATCAAACAGGTGCAAATTCTGGAAATAAAGTTCAGCCATATAGCAGTTATATTGGGGTACCACAAAATGGTTACTAAGTAACCGGTAGTCCAGTGTGGCAGGGAATTCTGATCTAGTTGGAGACAGAAAAATACAACACGCTTATGAACATCATTCTGAAGAAAAAAAGGAAGGTAAGCAAGGAAGAGGTATAAGTTATTTGTGTATCCTTCACAGGACTTTGGAGAAGCAACCCCAGCACTTTTTGACTGTTTCGGTTTTTTTAGGCAAATTTTACAATCAGTAGTTTGTCACTGCTTTCTGATTGGTCAGCTCTCAGTACCACCGTTGAAACCAATAAAAGACAAACATCCACAGCCGGGATTGAACTCATCCCCCCTGCATTATGAGCCGTGTTCACAATGCCTAAGCCATAAATGCCATAGAAGCGGTACAAATGGGAGGATAACATCGAGGGGTGAACAAACAGCAGTAGCTGATAAGCTACAACCAGAGACACTATGTGTTGGAAATCAACTGCAGCCAGTCTTCATTCTGGAGATAGCACCTGATTTATTAATTGATTTCATTTGGCATTTTTATATTAGTCCCCAAATAAGATAATTTTACTGAGTTATTTGATCAGTTTACCCATGTATCACTTGTATTTCTTGAAACTTCTGGTTTTTGAATTTTTATTTTTTTAAACTTTAAAAAAAAAAATCTTCCCAAGTGGCCCTGCTCCTGTTTGTCTCAAAAGAAGAAGCCATGAAGAACCTATACCTGAGGAACTCTCACAAGATGTTCGGCTATGGTCCCCTGTTCGTCAGTCTGGGTGTTTATTTCTTCATGGTGATCTGGGCAGCTGGCACATCTGTTGCTGCCGGAATTCTGGTGCCGATGCTGTAAGTTGAGCCCTTTTTTCTGTGTGTTTACTCTCAGAGAATTTCAGTTACATGAATCTATGATTTACACTACCTGTGCTGAGGATGACAGATGCAAGAAGAAAAAGAAGGAGGAGGAGGAAGGAAGGAAGGAGGAGCAAGAAGGGAGAAGGCGGAAGAAGAAGAAGAAGAAGGTAGGAGTATGAAAGGAAGAAGGAAGGAAGAAGGAGGAAGATGAAAGATGGAAGAAGAAAACAACAAAAAGAACAAGAAGCAGCAGCAGAAAAATCAGAGATAGGACGATAATCCCTGAAGACCTTAAAGCAAGGATGATTATTTTGTCTAGAACACAAAAAGGTGCCAGTACTTGTCACACAGGATGAATGGCTGACTGAATGGTTAAGACGCTGCGCTTTCATGGGGAGGTTATGGGGGAACCCAAGTCTGAATCCTCAATAAGGAGCATTTTTTGTTGGGGGTAAAACATTAAATCCCAACCTACACTGTCTGTGGAAACTGCCCTCTCCTTGTGAGCCGAAATTGTTTTGCTCCACGACACCCCCCCCCCCCTCCCCCTCTCGTTTAAACCACAAAAGTAATGAATACAGGCATTAATGAGTTTTTTTTTGGTTTGACCCACCATGGAGTATCTAGAGTGGTGTAGGTACTCACTACAAAGTATCTAGAGTGGTGTAGGTACTCACTACAAAGTATCTAGAGTGGTGTAGGTACTCACTACAAAGTATCTAGAGTGGTGTGGGTACTCACTACAAAGTATCTAGAGTGGTGTGGGTACTCACTACAAAGTATCTAGAGTGGTGTGGGTACTCACTACAAAGTATCTAGAGTGGTGTGGGTACTCACTAAAAAGTATCTAGAGTGGTGTAGGTACTCACTACAAAGTATCTAGAGTGGTGTGGGTACTCACTACAAAGTATCTAGAGTGGTGTGGGTACTCACTACAAAGTATCTGGGAAAAGAAGGTGCTGGTGCTCACCATAAAGTGGCTATTAAAATAGTACTTAAGAAATCAAGCCTAACAAAGGTTTTGGTACTGCATACAGTTGCATTTAGTTGCATTTAGTTGCATACCACCAGAAAAAAAAGAACCTGCATTAAAAACATGTCAATAGGCTTAATCACTTAGTTAACTCTTTGAGTCCCAGGAAACGCATCATACGTTCATAGGTTCCCGCCTAGAGGCCCAATGAACGCAAGATGTGCTGATTTTACATCTCTTTTGACTATCCCTTGGGCCTCTGCTAAACCCCCTGGGACTCAAAGAGTTAATGTTAATCATGAATAATTGTGTATTAATTTTAAAGATGTCATTAACCAGGCTGATTGGGGCATTATATGGACGTATCGTTGGGCTGGTTATGGTGGACATGTTTGGGGTCTACATGGATGACAGCTACTGGAGCTGGATGGATCCAGGAGCATTTGCTCTCATTGGTTCTGCTTCATTTTTTGGTGGAGTCTCTCGGCTTGCTCCTGCCACAACTGTTATAATGGTAAGTGTCAGTGGTGAGACTGGAAGTGTGGTCTCCTGGCTGATACTGACAGGATTATTTCATGGATGTGTGTGATATTGTGATATCATCAATCCATCAGTCAACAAGTCCTTTTCAGAACATCACACTTTTCAGGGACGCTTGAAAGTCTCTCTTTCTTTAGCTAATTTCCAGCTCTATAGCCAATGCCAAATGCTATTTACGAGCTAGTAATTTTCAATGTTCATGTTATGTAAGATATTGACATTTTTCTTCTTTTTTTGTCCCCTATATCTGGATGTGTTGTTATAGATGTGGGTAATATTGATATTCTGATGTCCTCAATGTGGACATTTGTTAGTGTCATGGCGAACATATTTTATTATATCAAACAAGTAAATTTATATGATTATTTTAAAGCCTAACAGCAAATTATGTGTGTGTGTGCTGCTAGCTCGTTAGCGCCTGTGGATTATGGGAATGCACTTTGTAATGCCAGGATGCCAAGATGCCGAGTTCGATTCCAGGTGCAGGCATTTGGAAGCAGAACGTCTTGCTTTTGTTTCAAACAGTGGTACTGAAAGCTGGCCATTCAGAAAACAGTGGAATGTTAAATTTGCCTAGAAAAAAAACATAGCAGCCAAAATAATGCTGTTCTTAGTTCTGCAACATCCTGAAAGGGTTACGCTCTAGCTTAATACATGATTTGTATGTGGACCAGTGGTCTTCAATCTATGGGCACAAGGAAATTTTTAGGGAAAGGTAAGAAGAGGGGGGAAAAGGGGGGGGGGGGGGGGGGGGTGAAGCCATTGTGAAATTTAGTTTATCTGTACTTGTAATAATCTGTCATACTAACATTTATTTTTTTTAAACAAATTGTAATCCTAGTGGAGGGTCTTAACAGTTGTGTAGAGTTATCTTCTCTTGTCTGTAAACAGATGGAGCTGACCAATGACCTGAAGGTTCTACTTCCAGTAATGACTGCAGTGATGGTAGCCAAATGGGTTGGGGACTATTTTACACATCCATTCTTCCACGCTCAGCTAGAACTGAAGTGCATCCCGTTCTTGGACAGACAGCCCCATGTTACCATTCACAAGAGAAAGTAAGATGTCATCTATCACCTTGTTCTGAACCCAGTGTGTTCCAGAAAATTTAGTACCAGCTCTTCACATTTTTATGCCCAATCCATTCAGTTCCAGAAAACTTTATAGCAGCCTCTCACATTTCAACGTCCAACCCATTTAATTGCAGACAATTTTATAATAGCTACTCACATGTTTATATCCAACCCGCCCGGCTCTCTAGCGTTGTTGGTTAAACCGGATTGCGTGGAGACCGGGTGACGAACTGCTTGTGGTCCGTGTTCAATCCTGGTGGTAGGCAGGAAAGCCACATTTTCTCCCAGATTTACGGTATTTACAATGGAATCAAGGCCGAAAGGTTGCAATATTCATAATACCGAGCCTAAGGGTTTACAACTCATGGCTTCTGGATACTAAAACAAACAAACAATATCCAACCCATTCAACTGCAGACAATTTTAGAGAAGCTATTCAAACTTTCTGGGTCTTCTTCTTAAAGTCCATGCTGTGTGTTGTTGGTATTCATGTCTATCCATAACTTTCTGTCTCATGTACTGTCAATCAACTCTGACACAGATGATCCTCCATGCCATAATTTCAAACTGTCCAGCATCTGTACTATCAGTCTCACCTGCCTTACCTCTCCTCCATCTTTTCTGATTTCATGATGTACTCCAGTTTTTTCCTTCTCATCACATGACCAAAGTAGGTAGATTGTCTCTTTCTGATGTGGGCAATCATTTCTCTCTTAGAGTCAGTTGGTTCAGCCTACTCAATGCCAGAAGATTTTGTAGCAGCTCTTCACATATTTTTGTTTCTTTCATTTAGTTACAGAAAGTTTTATAGCAGATTTCCATGCAGGCAACTAACCACTATAACAAATCATAAGAGGCAATGTACACATGTTTAGCAGTAAATTAGAAAAGCCAGTTACAGAAAGTTTTATAGCAGACTTCCAGGCAGGCAACTAACCACTATAACAAATCATAAGAGGCAATGTACACATGTTTAGCAGTAAGTTAGAAAAGCCAGATTTAGTTAACATGATGTGGCCAAATGTAAAATGTCAGAGAACACATTACATGATTGTTGTGATTTAGGGATGAGAACTAGTCAACATGGCAGACATTGTTTGACAATGAAAGCTTAGTTTAAATGATATTTTGGTGAAGACAAGTCATCAGACTGGGCTTATGTTGGGTGAGAATCGTAGAGCATTTCTCAGTCACTACAGAAAAACATTAAAGCTCTTGAACTTAATTGCTGCACATGTTGCGCTAACACGATTAGTATTGGAATCTCCCCATTTGGGTACCGGGGCCCCATAGGGGTGTGGTGTTTAGACCACCTCTAATAATGTTGTAAAAGGGGTGTTCCTTCAAAGTCAGAGTCCATCTGCCTGAGAGGTGAAGAATCAGTAGTTTAGTTACAACTCATTCCAGATCTTTAGAATGTAACTGCACACAAAACTCAAGTTCTCAAACAAGATTAAAGTTCAGATATGGATGAACAACCAAACTTTCCACAGAGCTTACAACCAGTGAAAGCTAAAAATAAGAATATTCTTTTGCCAGTTAGCACATAATAATTGTGTTACAGGTGGATTACTAATCAAATTGTATCATATTGACTGTTCTAGTGTTAAACTGGAACTCTTCTCTGCTGAAGATATAATGGCATTCCCTGTGATAACCATGAACCGGGTAGAACGAGTCACCAGTATTGCTCATATACTGCTTGATTACCAGCACAATGGTTTCCCAGTTCTGCATAAGAATGCAGAGGGCAAGAAAGTCTTTTACGGCATGATAACCAGGTATGTGCTTAGGAGGTCATAACAATTCACTATATAGATATGACTCATCTTAACTCTTTGGTTACAGAAACACTCAAAGAAATTGATCATGACTCCATGGGAATTCCAAAACAAAATCCTTGCAACAATTTTACTTCTTCTTCTTCTTTTCTCTACTCCTGGAAAGCCTCGTGGCATCAGGGGAGAAAGAGATCTCTAGAATGAGCTCTTCTGTTCACTTTGCATATAGAACTTTTCAGTGTCTCTGATATTTCTGGGGTCCATGTTCTGTGTGGTTGACCTCTGGCTCTGTTACCATTGTATCTGTATAACATTGCTCTTTGTGGTGCCCTGTCTGCTGCCAATCTTGTTACATGGCCAAACCACTTGATTTGTTGTCTACCTATAAAGTTTAGTATTGGTTCTGTGCCGATTCTCCTCCTGATATCATCGGACCTAAGTCATCTTTTCTCATTACACCTAGCATAGTGTGTAAACATTTCATTTCTGTCATGCCTATTTTGCTTCTGTGTTCTGAAAACAGTGTCCATGTTTGACATTGATAGCAGCACTTTGGGCACTTTAACACCTAGAGGACTGAACTGCCAACGCAGTTTCATCTAAAATCCTAGCGGATTGATCTGCCCACAGTTTTATCTAAAACACCCTCCAGTTACGGCCCCTGGGACTCATCGGGGGTATTTATTCTCCTGTTCCCCGTGTCTCATCTGTCTGCTGACAAGACATCGACCTGGCTGCTTCCAGATACAAAGCTAAGTGATTTTGTATATTTGTGTGGTATTGTTTGATTTAGGTATGTGCTGATGAAGTCTACATAGCCGCATTTACGTTTTGTGTGTGTTCGTTATATTATGAAGCTTGCTGACATACTTTTTGTTCAGTTTTACATCTTTTCTTGACACTGATAGCAGAGCGTTGGTAAGAAAATTTTGTTAAGCGGTGTGTTTTTAGTGTTCATATTCACATGCTTGCATTTCAAAATCGGTGGCCATTTGGGCTAAGACTTGATTGGCTTTATTGTATCTTTGCTGGAATAATTTATTCTTCCATCTTCTGAAAAAAAAATGCTTCCCATATATGTAAAATCCTTTGAATGCTTTAATTGGTATTCACCAATTTTTATTTTTGTGGTTTTTCCTTTTCTGAAGAATGTCATCACTTCTGTTTTGTCTACTTTCATCTTCATATCTTAGTTGTCGAATTTTGAGTGGAATCTATTACAATGTGTCGGCTCTGTGGCTAAGTCGATGCGAACGCTCCAGGATGCCGGGTTCGATCCCAGCTGCGGGCTATGCACCTTGCGTTGGTTTCGGCAGTGGTATCAAGAAAGCCGACTGTCCAGAAAGCAGTGGCAAACTACTGGACGTAAATTTGCCTAGAAAAACCACACAACAGCCAGATACTGCAATAGAAATATACAGTTTTTAGCCCCAGCATATCAGATAAAGTAGCCATTTTCTTTCTCTATCGCAGTACCGTTTTATTAAATTTGCCGAAAAATCAATAATTCACAGTGTAGCTAAAAGGGCTTTTAACTGGAACCCACAAGGGCATAGAAATAAAGGTAGTCCAAAACAAAACAAAACAAAAAACACATGAAGGGAAATATAGAGTGAAGTTATACACACACACAAAATGAGGAAGACATCGGGTTAGCCACTTGCCATAAGAAAGAACAGGATGACTTGGCATGAGTTGGTTAAGGGCCCATGCTGAACTGGGGTAAAATGGGCTGAAGAAGAAGAAGTACAACACAGTTCCTGGCATCTTTGTATCTCTCCACACAATAATGTTATGTGGTGCTGTGGGGAAACAAATAAATCACAAACCATGGCAGTGGCGAGAGTGACTAGCAAGACCCGCCCACGTCAAGAAAAGTCTTCCACAGTTATAGCACGGGATTTCAGGAACAATATTAACATAACATGTATTGTTCAAGTTTCTTCTTAGACACTCTACTCTTTATCTGTCTGCAATTAGTTTCTTTTTCTTACTCTGCTCTTTACCTGCCTGCAATTGTTGTCTTCTTTATCCCTATTCCATCTCTGACTGTCCCCCTCAAAGAATCATGGTATATGGTATTATCTTCTCACAGACAGTGTGGGAACAGTGTAATGCCACTCTGTAATTATTGTTTCGTATCTTGACAGGTCAGAACTACTGGTGATTTTAAAACATCCAGATGTACTCCATCGAGGACGTGTGGACCCTATGGATGACAAAAATTTGGAAATTGCGCCAATCGCTTACAATACCGTAATGCTGAATATATTTAGATGTTTTTTGTTTTAATGGTTATATTACAGCTTTCACTGCCTTCGTTTAAAAAATCAGAATGGCTTTTTTTTTCCTGCACGATGTCATCATCATCATGTGTCATGCTTAGTTACACAGGCATTGATGTGTCTCTGGAAACATCTGTCTTCTTTGTTCTTCATAAGTCTAACTCATGATCATTTTCCTAGTCCATCTCATATTTTCTCTTTCTGTTCACCTGTCTCTGTTTTCCTAATTGTCACATTTTCTCCTTCTGTGGACCTGTCTCTACCCTCCCTACTGTCATATTTACCATGTCTTCTCACAAGATTCACAACTTTCTCCCAAACCCTGACTTCTCATGATTCACAACTTTCTCTAAACCCTGGCTTCTCATAAAGTGATACAAATGAATTATCTGTTTCTCAAGTAATCTTTAGGGTTTTTTTTTTTGGTTGTGTAAACTGGCCTCTTGTCATTTGTGTGAGACTTGCTTCTTCTGTAATAAGATCGATTGAATACAGTAAAAGTAAAAGGACCCTTTTCCTAACCCTCAGCTGTGCTGGGCATTGTTGTAATCTTATTTGGCCGAGAGTTGAAGTTTCTTCTAGTGGGAACAGCACAGGTGAAAGTTCAGACAGCGGCCACGGGTCGTTACCTGGGTGATGGTAATTTCATGACCTAACTGAATTCTGGGCGATGAAGACAAAGGCTCGGGCAGTTGAGAAGTTTCCATTGTCCAAGTCGGACGTGTGGAAACATTGTGTTGAGGATTTTATAAAAAGGTTTCTCTTTGTGAGGTTTTGATTTACCGTTGTTTGCGGGGGACAGTTTAATGTCTGTTTAGTTATTATAATGGCAGGAGTCCATTGAGAAAAGATTGTAATCTTTTATATCATCAGAGTAGATAATAGACATTTATTATCGTACATGTTTTAATGAATAATCATCATCATCTTGTGACATGTAATGTTAATAACATTAAAGTTTATTTGACCTGTCACAAGCGTTATTGTTGACTCGTAAAGATAACAACTGTATTAGATGATGCTGTGCCAAGTGTGCAGTTATTATAGTATACAGGACTGTAGCACATCCATCAAGGAGATATCCAGCGGAATGTTAGAGTAGGCACCCTAGGCCTAAATACTTGGTTGTTGAATAACAGAGTGTACAACAGGCATATAGGGCTAAACCTATATGTTATAAACCAATCGGCACTCATTGGGTGATCTAGGCAACATCAAGGTGGCCATCTTTACTTCCCAGGAATATTTCTGGTAGCACTCAAAGCTGGGTCTACCTGGGAGCCAAAGTTACTTTAGAAAAACAATCCAGGCTTATCAGGACCAAAACACACAACCCTCCGATCCATAGGCAAGTGTCTTGCCCCTACACCACAGTGGCTCTGAGATATATATATATAAACACACACACACACACACACACACACATTAATTAACAGACCTTTACTTTGAGCAACACATTCAGACGACCTGTCTATTTTTCTAGATTCTAAAAGGTTTGAAACTCAGTGAAGAGGAAATATCTGAATATCTTCATGAGTTCATCAGCAACAATTCTGAATACAAAGATTATTATGTTGATCTGGTAAGTATGCATTAATTAATTTAGGCTAAAGAATGTGTCAGAGCTGATGCAATATCCATGATCAACCCAGCACTATACAAATACAAAGAATGAAACTATCTTGATAATGCTTAACTCTTTCAGTCCCAGGGGTTTAACATCAGAGGCCTGAGGGCTAGTACAGAGAAATTTATAATTGGCGCATCTTTGGTCATTGGGCTTCTCTGAATGTATGATCTGTTCATTGAGACTGAAAGAGTTAACTGGAAATGCAAACATAAGTCTGTTGTGTATTTTAGCTACAAGGATCCATTGTTTTGCTCTATTTTATGTTGACTTAATTTTATTGTCTAGTATTATGAGATACAGTGACATCAATTAGGAAATAAATTGTGCTATCTGTTGTTTTTTCTTAATTATTCAAATTCACAACGAAAAAGCATTCATTTGAGCTTATTCAATGTGGCAACATGGCAAATTTACCATGGTGGGGGGAATTACTTGTCTCTTTATTCAAAGTGCTATGCTGATTTTCCAGGCAACAGTTTGTGCAATATGATTATTATAATATTTTGAAAGGTACACTCACAATGTATTCAACTCAACAATTTATGCTCCCTAATTACCACATAAACTATGCAAAATTCAGTCAGCATAAATAATTGATAAGCATAAACACCCAATTTTAAAACAGAAAAATAAAAGCTGCATAGCTTACATTATCACTCCTCATCCTTTCTAGGATGAAATTTTTCATTCTTTGAAGCCCTGCTCTGGCTTTTGCCAGGGGCCGCAATATAGCCTGGCCATAAATATGGCCTAAAGGCTGAATGCGGTTTCTGGGACCTCTCCACGGTGATCCTCTTCCACATGGTGGCACAGTGTGTCATCGGGTGTTTATCGCTTGTGTGATGTCCTGGTGGAGTAGAAAGTCAGTCAGTCAGTCATAAAAGCTGCATATCCCAATTATAATCTGGATGGTTGGTTTGAAAGGGTTATTGTTGTTAAAAATACTACTACTATGATATTTTGTGTGTTTTTTTTTAAATGTCATGTTCAAGTTTAAACTTTTAGTTCCTTCATTATCTATTGAATGATTGGTTGAAACTTTTGCAGACACCATATGTGAACCAATCAGCGATGAGTGTACCAACAAAGTTTTCACTTCACAGATCCTACACTCTGATCAGTGCTTTAGGTCTGCGACATTTAACAGTTGTTGACAGCAGTAATCAGGTAAGAGCTTTTCTCACCAGTCTAGTCTGGATGATAATGAACAAATATTTGTAGTAGAATAGAGCATCACCGGCTTTAAGGAAATACAGAGATATGTTTAACAAAATCAGAATCCTACAACAAAAACAATCCTACAACAAAATTAGAATCCTACAACAAAATTAGAATCCTACAACAGAATCAGAATCCTACAACAAAATCAGAATCCTACAACAAAATCAGAATCCTACAACAAAATTAGAACATTACCAAATTAGTTCATGTACAATTGTTACCTATAGTAATTGGCAAAGATGGGACAGGCATTAAAAATATATAAAAAAGATGGAAGGAAAATGTTGGAGATATGAATGAAGATATTGTGAAGTATCCTGGTAATATAATTGAGAGTGAAGAAAGAGAGAGAGAAAGACCAGAATCTGTGCCGCAGACAGGGAAATCACATGAAAGAGAACTGGAAACAAAATGGGAAAAGTGGGAATAAGAAGGGCTGTTGCTAAATGAAAATATTTATAATAATATTCATGATGAAAGAAAATATTGGCTGATTTGAATACCCAACACACACACAGCACACACACAACCCGGATGGGGGGGGGGGGGGGGATGTCATTATAAAAGCACAGCAAATCCTTAAAAAATAAGGTAGCAAAAAAGCAAGATAAATAAATACTAACATTGCTCTAAACAGCATGAAGAACCTCTGGCACAGCACCTGCAAACAAGTTCAAGTAAACATTTTGAGGTCATGCATCTTTCCTGTGATAACCTATGAATGTTGGTCATGGACTCTTAGTTTTTGAAGGAAACCAGAGCTTTTCAACTGAAATGTTACAGAAACATTTGTAGAACACTGTGGACCAAGAAGAAGAAAAATACCGAGATCTGACATGACCTGAACATCGAGGAGAACTGGCTCATAAACAGCATCCTCTCCCCAAAGCTAAGCTATTTTGAATAAGGATGAAGGGTGAAGTTTCTGGAAAATGATGCAAAGGCTGACCTCCGCAAAGATGGATAAAATATGTTGTAGATATATTGGCCATAAAAGCACACTTAGCTGTAGATTTGGCTAGAGAAAGAGAGACTTCATGTGTGCTATGAAGAGAATGGCGTTCTGTAAAGGACATGCTGATTGATTGATTGATTGATTGATTGATTGATTGATTGATTGATTGACTGATTGATTGATTGATTGATAACACTTATTAAGGGGAAATACATGGAATAATGCAGAGAACAAACCAACAGTAAACATCCACAAGACCCCCATCAGCAGACTAAAAAGAAAACAATATACAAAAATTTTATATCTAAGAACAGGACACTGCAGGCTTAACTACCACTTGCATAAAATTAAGACTAAGTCCCCACAGTTTGCATGTCATAAGGAACCACAAACACCTGAGCACATTCTGCAGACCTGCCACTATACTTACAACTATGAAACTTCCTGGCCTCAGGAACAAAGTGTGCAGAGCTAGCTATGGGAAACCTGAAAGAACTTGCAACTAACATGCATGTTCACAGAGGCAGTCCACCTGACTATCTTACCCCAGCATGCAAAACCAAATGCAAAGAAGAAGATATTAATGTATTGTTTGTTTATAATACTAATCTTTTTTTGGCATTCTGTGTTTATCTGAAGGTGCAAGGTATCATTACCCGCAAGGATCTGATGGGTTTTCACATGGTAGAAACTCTGTCTGCACTCATTAATACCAAGGATTATTTTGACTCCAGCCTCGATGGAGAGGCACGACACAAACATGAGGACAATAAACCAAAGAAAGCCAAACCTGCAGACAGCAAAACTGTGAGACATCAGAATGGTCATCACTCTCAGAGAAAATCAGTTTTTGTACATATACCAGAGCAAATTGTATAAATGTTGCTCTGTCTAAATGTAAACATTACAAAATAATTACTGAACAATAAAACAGTTAGTACCAGGTACTGAGCTTTTTGTTTGCTCTCATCACAGCTCATTTGAATGGCCCCCTAATTCTTCATTAATTTCCCTGCCTCGTGCATTTTCATGCTCAGTATATTTTCAAATGTGACCAGTGATTTAAAAAAAAGCATTGCTTTGTGAAACCTTGCCTTGTCTTTCACAAGCCATACTTTTATTACAGTTCTTTAATTGCTGGCTTATTCAGCTATATGAAAATTATGTTTACTTTTAGACAGGTTTTAGGTAATTATATGTCCACTTTCTGGGACTATACACAAAGAAAAATAACATTGCATGTCATGGTAGGGACTATACTTGCACCAATACATGTCATGGCAGGAACTATACTTGCAACAAGACATATGACAGAGAGTATATTATACTATGAATGAGTATTCTGTTACCAAGACATATCGTGGCAAGGAGTATATTATACTATGAATGAGTATTCTGTTACCAAGACATATCATGGCAAGGACTATACTTTTACTAAGACATATCATGGCAGGGACTATGCTTGTAACAAGATATAACATGACAGGGACTATACTTGTAACAAGACATATTATGACAGGGACTATACTTGCACCAGTACATGTCATGGCAGGGACTATACTTGCAACAGACATCTGGCAGGGACTATACTTTTATCAAGACATATCAAGGCATGGAGAGTATATCATACTACGAATGAGTATTCTGTTACTAAGACAAATCATGGCAGGGACTATACTTTTACCAAGACATATCAAGGCAGGGAGAGTATATCATACTACGAATGAGTATTCTGTTACTAAGACAAATCATGGCAGGGACTATACTTTTACCAAGACATATCAAGGCAGGGAGAGCATATCATACTACGAATGAGTATTCTGTTACTAAGACAAATCATGGCAGGGACTATACTTTTACCAAGACATATCAAGGCAGGGAGAGTATATCATACTACGAATGAGTATTCTGTTACCAAGACATATCATGGCAGGAACTATACTTGCACCAGTACATGTCATGGCAGGGACTATACTTGTAACAAGACATATCATGGCAGGGACTATACCTTTACCAAGACATATCAAGGCAGGGAGTATATCATACTATGAATGAGTATTCTGTTACCAAGACATATCATGACACGGACTATACTTGCACCAGTACATGTCATGGCAGGGACTATACTTTTACCAAGACTGAGTATACTTGTACAAAAAACGTATCATGACATGAGTTTACTTGTACCAACGCACAAAAAGGGAATATTATAATTGAAACATAAAAATAAAATAAACGTCTATGATCCTGGAAACATTTTACCACATATTTAGCAAATGCTGATCGTATTTTGTGGAGGAAACACACATTTTACACAGTCCGACAATAAAGTAATGAGACTAATTCCATAAAAATTAAAATAATCAACAGTTGAATATATACTTTGTATCTGATTCAAAGTAAGCCCAGTGTGCATTGATACAGCAAACGGCACAATCTAACAAACACTGAAACGATCTCTGTAGTTCTTCTGTTGTTATGGCCCTTAAAGTCGATGTTACAGCCCTTTGGATGTCATCAGTGTCGTTAAAGAGTCATCCTTTTAATCGTAACTTTAATTTTGGGAATAGAAAATAATCACAGGGAGACAAATCTGGGGAATAGGGTGGAAGGTTGAGAACACACACTTGTTTTGGGTCCAAAAATTATTGTTTTTATGATGCCTCGGGTACTCAACCCGCTGATGTTTTTGGTCATCAGATAACAAATGTGGAACAAAACAGCAAGCAACTTTTTTCTTGCCAAAATTTTGCACTAAAATGTTATTAATGGTCTCTCTCTATTAACACCAAATTCATGTGCCATCATTCTCACAGTAAAACAATAAACTTCTTGTATCCGTTCTCTCACTTTTGCAGTGAGTTCATCATTACAAACATAAATTTGGCATCCAGGTCTAGGTGCATTATTAATCATTTCCACACCATTTTTGAATTGGGAATACCACCTGAAGATATTTGTACAGGATAAGCAATTATCCCCACAGACATCAACTGTTTCAGTAGTGCTTTTTCTGAGTTTCAAAAAGAATTTAATGTTAGCTTTTTGCTCCATGCTGATTACGTAACAATGCACCTCTGACTGGGTCAACAAAATCATAGATGAATGTTGCCTCTTTAGATTCCATGCTTTGCTTCATTGATGGCATTTTTGTCTTAGCCATAATAAAATCAGTCTCTTTACTTAATTGTTGGACCTTGAATATTTCTTTACCAGTTGCTTTTGAAATAAAAATGTTAGGTTTGGGGGTGTTGCTTTTGAGGGTTTTCTTCTTCTTCTTCTTCTTTCGTTCGCATGAAATAAATTGTCTATATCTGCAATGCTGTCTCTTGTATGAATTTCACTGTTTTTTGTAATTCACTAAGCGGCCCGTAAAGTTTGACTTCCACAAGTGTCTCTTTTGGCCAAATGTTTTGCCTGAAAGCGTTGAATATGGGACAGTCTTGAAGGATGTGATCTGTTGTTTCAGGTGCCAGTCCACAAGTACACATGGCCGATTGGCCAATCTTAAATTTGTTGTACATGTGGGAGCGAAGTCTATTGTGCCCTGTTCTAAGGCGAAGGATAATAACTTGCTCTGGTCTGTCCATAATATGGTAATCATCTTGTGCCAGTTTCGGTGGCATTCTGATTGATTTGATCATTCTCTTCTTCTGTTGATAAGAGACTGGTATGTCAGGTTGTTCTTCAGTTGCACCTTCCTTAGCATTATTGATAAGGTTTACAGTGTTTACAGTCTGTTGTTTGTGTCTTCTTTGTTCAAAGATTAGGTATTTGTATATTATGAAAATGTTTAACATTAATTTGATAATTCATACTTAAACCACAATAACATGATACATAAAATAACAAATATGTATACATTCTGAGAACTCAATAAAGGCTTTCTATTCTAATTATAACCCTAAGGTTTTAACAGGATTCTTTGTACAAATTACTATTACTACTTAAACCACTTTTTTATTCATCTATCGTCCTTTTTAGGATGAAATATTTTGTTATTTGAAGCCCCACCCTAGCTCTTGCCAGGGGCCGCAATATAGCCAGACCATAAATATGGTCTAATAGCTGAACTCGGTTTCTGGGACCTCTCCACTGTGATCCTCATCCACATGGTGGCACATTGTGTCATCGGGTGTTTATCGCTTGTGTGATGTTTTGGTGGGGTAGAAAGTCAGTCAGTCAAACCAATTTTAGACTTGTTTAAACATTTTTAGGTGTTTTTCTTGCTATCTTTTATTACCAACCTGTTTTTTGTTGTTGTAAAATAATGCGTACTTAATTATTGTAAAGCAATTTTTTATTGTAAATTGGTGTGATAACAAAATATTTTTACAAGTGATAGTATAGTTTTTAAGACATAGGAACATTTTACAAATGTATTTTTTGTTAATGAATATACATTTTTACATTTGTTGATTTTGTAATCAAAACATATTTGATTGTAGTCAATTTACATAACTAGTATATATTTCATAAATGAAAATTGTTGTGATTTTTACTCATGTTTTGCCTGTTTAAGTTTTACACAAGCCATGTGTCATTGTTTGTGTGGGTTTTTTTTACTATACCACAATGCCAACATCATGACATTATTTTAAAAAGTTATGTTAATAAAAACATGACTGTCTTTGCAAAATACTCAAAATAGGTTGCAATAAAGCAGAAATGATTGAAAGTACATGAGACAGAAGGTTGTGGATAGACATGACCACCAGCACTGCACAGCATGGACTATAAGAAGGTCAATTGATCTTACCTCTGTTCATGTGGTCGGAGGATATCATAGCAGGTGTTGGAAATGGCCACTATTGGTGTCCAGGCAGCATTGATCACGCTGTTCCATGTTGTTGAAAGTCTGTCTCAGTAATTCATGTGTCACTGAATGGATGGCCACACTGATGTTTTGCTGCCTGGACAACCAATGGTGGCCATTTTCCTGCATAATTGAAATATTTTGCTGATATTAAAAGACATAACACTCTTTCGAAAACCATACTAGAGGGAAAAGTTGAGAGTAAGAAAGCAAGAGGTAAACAACAGTACAAGTCAGAAGACAACATCAAGAGATGGACAAACAGCAGTCTTAGAGAGTGTATAACCAAGATAAGGGACACAGCATGTTGGAGCTCCATTGAGGCCAAACTTCATGTGGAGATTTCAACTGATTGATCAGTTTTTTTTTTTTGGGTTTTTTTTTCAGTTCTGTAATTTGTTAGTTGTTAAAATTATCATAAAAAGAAGTTGTAAGCCTGTGATTGCAATTAATTTTAGCATAATCAATGTTTATTTCTTGAATTAGAGTACTTCTCGGTTGTAAATAAGCAATGTAAAATTATTATAAAATGATCAGGCAAAATTGTTGTGCCTGCTCATCCATATTAAATGAAGATTATTTATATCTATGTTGTGCTGATACATTCACACAAAAAGTGAATTTGTTTGTCAATAATTTATTGAAAAATGAGTCCTTGTTTTAAATTTAAATGCCTTTACTACAAATGCTTCCTGGCAGTTGTTGCAAAATTTTGCATTAAATTTTACAGAAAAATTATTTCCTTGTTAATTTTATTTCAGAATTGTTTTCATGTTACAGTATATACCTTCAGAAGGAGGAAGTGGAAAAAGAAATTCCTTTTAATTATATTTTGGTCATATTAATAGTTACATGATATTTAAATTTTAAATAAAAAAGTAAAAAGTAAAGATCCCTTTTCACCCTTTAGCCACATCAGGCATATGGGAAGAACACCCATATTTTTACATACCAATCGGCACTAGGTGGGTAATGTGGTCAGCATTACGCTGGCCATCTTTACTTCCCCAGCACATACATCCTGGTACCCATTTTAGGCTGGGTTGCCCTGCGACACCCCATACCCTGATAAAAATCCACAAAACCAGCAGTGGGTTTTGATCGCGGTACGTTGGAATTACGAGTCAGACTCACAATGCCTAAGCCACAAACGCAATAAAAAATAAATACCCTGAGAACTCAATTAACACTATATGTCTTAATTATAACGCTGAGTGTTGAACAGGATATGTTTTTACAATTACTACTACTAGAAAAAAAGAATAAAAAGAATGTAATTTTTATTCAGGGTTATATAGTAGTGGTAATAGTAATACAAAAAAGGTGATCTACAGGAGTGTGAAAACTATAGAGGAATTATGTTGCTGTGAGTTCCTGGAAAAATATTAAGTAGAATTATTTTGGAAAGATTAAAAGATGCCATTGATAAAAAGCTAAGAGATGAGCAGACAGGTTTTCGGTCAAACAGATCCTGTACTGACAAGATAGCCACATTACGTATTATAATAGAGCAAAGCATTGAACTGAACTCACCACTTTACATTGGATTTAGAGACTATGAAAAAGCATTCGACAGCATTGACAGGGAATCTCTCTGGAAATTGATGGGACACTATGGAATCCCACAGAAAATTGTCAACTTAGTAAAGGCAACATATAAAGACATGAAATGTCGAGTTCTTCATGAGGAAAAGCTAACAGATGTATTTGAAATAAAAACAGGTGTGCGACAGGGATGTCTTTTGTCGCCTCTCTTATTTTTACTGGCTATAGACTGGACTATGAAAACAGTAACTGCTAACACCAAGAATGGAATTCAGTGGACCCCTACAAAACAGCTTGATGATCTGGACTTCGCTGATGATATTGCTCTTCTGTCCCATTCACGGAATCAGATGCAAGATAAATTAAATATACTTGATGCGAGATCACATCAGCTTGGTCTGAAAATCCATAAAGGAAAGACAATGAGAATAAATCAGGCAAATAGTAATGTTGTTTCTCTTAATGGCACCCCACTCCAAGAGTCGTACACCTATTTAGGCAGTAATGTAGATAAAGATAGAGGAACTGATAGAGATATTAAAATAAGAATACAAAAGGCAAGAGGGGCTTTCATAGCACTAGGAAATTTGTGGAGGTCAAAAGAAATTTAAAGAAATACTAAACTAAAAATTTTTAATTCTAATGTCAAATCAGTACTATTGTATGGGGCGGAAACATGGAGAACAACCAAGGCAATTACTAATAAATTACAGACATTCATTAACTGGTGCCTGCGCAGAATAGAGGGAATTAAATGGTATGATAGAATAACTTATATAGAACTTTGGGAGAGAACTAAACAGGCTCCAGTGGATCAAGAGGTGAGGAAAAGACGCTGGCGTTGGATAGGACACACACTGAGAAATCAGGAGAACAGCATAACTACAATGTCTTTGCATTGGAACCCAGGGGCATAGGAATAAAGGAAGGCCAAGGATAGAACAACTTGGCGTGAGTTGGTTGAGGGCCTATGCTCCATTGGGGGATAGAAAGGCAGAAGAAGAAGAATAGTAATACAGCATTAGTATAGTAGGTTAAGCAGGAGTGGTAGCAGTAGCCACAGATGTAGTTGTAGTTGTAGTGCATACTAGTAGTAATTTGATCATTGTGTTCAAACTATCTGGGTAAAAATTGGAATATGTGAGTTTTTTTGTCTTTTTAGATATGGATATTTTTGTTGATCTCATAACTGGGGCTACATTTTTGATAAATCCTGCCTCAGTAAAGGTGATTATTTTATACTGCTGGATCTGTATTCAGAGGCAGAAGAAATGCTATAAGGTTTTATAGCAAAATAACACTTATTGCAACACAGCTTAGCAAATGATACCATGATATCTAGTTTAAGAAAGGAGGTAAAGGCATCCACTGCACCTTTTCTCTGGCTTAAGAACCAGCTAAGAACACATCACTCACAAAGTGAATTGAAAAGCGAGATAAAACATGCAGAGGCCATCGGTTGAAAAGACGAGGCTCTTGGATGGCACAAGCAGAAGTGACTATAAGAAATAACAAGCGACCACACAAGAAGCATGGGTAGCAGAACAAGCTACCACACAAGTAGCATGGGCAGCAGAACAAGCGACTACACAAGTAGCATGGGTAGCAGAACAAACGACCACACAAGTAGCATAAGTAGCAGAACAAATGACCACACAAGTAGCATGGGTAGCAGAACAAGCGACCACACAAGTAGCATGGGCAGCAGAACAAGCGACTACACAAGTAGCATGGGTAGCAGAACAAACGACCACACGAGTAGCATGGGTAGCAGAACAAGCGACCACACAAGTAGCATAAGTAGCAGAACAAATGACCACACAAGTAGCATGGGTAGCAGAACAAACGACTACACAAGTAGCATGGGTAGCAGAACAAGTGACCAAACCAGTAGCATGGGTAGCAGAACAAACGACTACACAAGTAGCATGGGTAGCAGAACAAACGACCACACAAGTAACATGGGTAGCAGAACAAGAGACCACACAAGCAGCATAAGTAGGAGAACAAATGACCACACAAGTAGCATGGGTAGCAGAACAAGCGACCACACGAGTAACATGGGAAGCAGAACAAGCGACCACACTAGTAAAATGGGTAGCAGAACAAGCGACCACACGAGTAAAATGGGTAGCAGAACAAGCGACCACACGAGTAAAATGGGTAGCAGAACAAGCGACCACACGAGTAAAATGGGTAGCAGAACGAGCGACCACACATGGTTTAATAGTTTCAGACTCTATGAAAATGCTTGAGAAAATCTCAGCAGGGATCCTACATTCCGAATGGGTAGAAAGCATTCGAAAGTCGCAGTTAAATTCCATCATCTGGATCTATACACCTGGTGACGCAGGAGTACATGGTTACGAAAGAGCTGACCAGATGGTCAGGAAGCAGAACTGGTCTTGCAGTGGATACCATCCCATTGTGGTATTCAAGGAAATGAGAGAGCAGATGAGTTGGCAAAAGCTGGGAGTAATCTTTCACAACCTCATCCACCACACAGCTATAAGGAAACCAAAACAGCGCTAAAGCAGTGGAGTGGAGAAGGCAGAATGGATATTACAGACCAGAGAGTGACAGCATAAACAAACTCAACAGGAAAGAACAAACATCAATTTTTAGACTTCGGACTGGACACTGTGGTCTTCGAGCACACCTGTACAAGATAGGCATAAAAGAATCTGCTGCCTATGATTGTGGAGCAGAAAGACAGACCCCTGAGCACGTACTGCAGTACTGCCCTTACCTCTCCCAGCAAAGACTGTGGATCTGGCCCAAGGGAGCCACATTGAAAGAGAAGCTATGGGGGACCGGTGGCGACCTTAAACGCACAATCCTATTTTTGACCCAGACGGGACTCAATGTTTAGCATGACTGATGTCGAACGCAGAAGAAGAAGGTAAGTAGATGATCCAGTGCAAACTGGAAGAAGCATGGACAGAGCTGATGTCATCAACGCTGTACGGACTAACTAGGGACAATGGAGTGTCTTTAACGCTAACACGACTGTGTAGCCGAAGAGTTAGGCTTGGTGAAGCACGTTTATGCCGTCTTCATGGGAGAGACTGGAGATACCATAACCAACTCCTCTTGGGAACAATCAGTAAAGGTACCTTGGAATGGTATCGTAGGACAGAACACGCATGGGGATGCCCAATATGCAAAGACGTCGATTGTGAAAACAAAAGGGCTCGTCATGAAAGCCGCTGTGATGTCAAATCTTTCAGATGAGAATTTAGCATTTGTTCCGCAATAACACAATTTCTTTTTATCTGACCGAGACAAGGGAAGCAACCGCGCCTTTCCAAGTCTGCCTGCAATGTCAACTTGGAGAAGAACAACCCGACCCCACATGGACGACTCTTTTTTACCATAGACCCTTCACAGTTGGGGCTGTTGCATTTTGTTTAAGGACACTGATATAGCCATACGCAAAATATATAATGAATATGTTTTCTTTTGGGTTGTGTGCCAAAGCACGGCCTGCTTTACTATTGAAAGGACCGTTTTTTCTGGCAGGTCCTGCATACCAGGCAGCAACATGTCGTCAATTGTCTGCCCTCAACAGGGTGAGTAAGTTAGTCAGTTGCTACTAGGCTGCGATATATACGCCGTTCGGCCCAGTACATCCGATTCAGGAAAGCCCTTAATTTAGTTGGTTTACTAGTAGTCTTTTATTATGTTCCTGCTAGATTAGGCTTGCATCTAAACCACAAACATGGGGTCCAGAAAGTCACACGGAGAGAGTGAGTTATAAAATAATACTTACTTACCAAAGTGAGAGTGCATCTGCCTGAGAGACAAAGAACCATATGTATACAAATAAACCAGATCTGTAAAATGTATGTGCACGCAAAAGTGGGCTATCAACCGAACGGTCCCAAATTATCGAGGCCAAAAATATACCCTAACGGTAACAGGGCTTCAGTCACAAGTCACATGTAAATTGCGAACTTCCGCCACGGCCGAGAGTATCTTCCACGCCGCTGTGCGCGGCGTGGATTGGGGCTAAACTAGATGGCTGGGACTTACAAACACATAAAATGAAGGAAGCTGCAGGAGATGCGGTAGCTGCTGCTGGTGAGTCCCAGCCATCTTTAGTTTAGCTCCAATCCACGCCGGGCATAGCGACGTGGGAGATACTCTCGGCCATGGCAGTAGTCGCCGGAAGTCTGCAATTTACATGTGACTGAGGCCCTGTTAGGGTATATTTTCGGCCTTGATAATTTGGGACTGTTATTCGGAAGATAGCCCAAAAGTATAAAACATGTGCATGCAAAACTCGTGGATCAAGCAGTCTTGTGGTAAAGGAACAACCAGAATGTTCTGCTGGAGTTTATAGCCGATGAATGCAACGAAGAAGTTAAAGATGTGATCTCCGTTGTGCCTCCTCCAACATTAGACCAAGAAATGCAGAGATCATCAAGACAAAACAATGTCAACCATGACATTGATATGTGGACACTAAATTACAGAATGTTTGTGACAGTTTCTTGTGTTGATACTTTATGTGGATGTTTTTCTCCAAGTTCTTATTTAAAGTTATTAACAGTGCTTCAGATTTTTCTTTTTAATCACATTTAGTTTGGGGGGGGGGGGGGGGGAGGGTGGTATCCTCACCATATACTCAAGAGGAGAGGAAGCTCCACCTGAAAAAGCTTCGAGACGACTGTTCTATGGGGAGGTGCTGTATTACAGAGGTGTCCCTTTAGAATAGCATTTCATTTTTTGTATATTATCTGATGGGTCTCTAATCTCTGTGTCCTTACTCTAAAAGTGGACCACTTCTAACTGTGGATCTGAAATGGAATGTATATTGCAAACACTTGTTTTGTTACATGTTTCTCTGTTTTAATTATTTAAGTTCACACAAAAAAGAAAAAAAAAAAACATTTTGAATAAGTAACTTGAACATAAAGCAGAATCTTTTATCTCCCTTGAAGGAGGAGGAGTTGAAATACAATTTATATCTTTTGTAATTTTTTGCAGGTGAAGATTTCACATGCAAACAATCTGGCACTTGTCATAACCAAACGACAGATACAGTTTAAACCTTCGGAACGAAAACTTCCAGTGCAGCTGTCTCGGAACAACTGGGATAAGGTACCCTCTGATTTTGAGCTGGTTTACCAAAACAGCCTGAAGAACTGGATCTGGGGATATTACATAACCCAGACAGTTATGGTCTCCGGTTGTTGCTTGTTTGCTTTTTACGAGTTACAGGATCTGTTGAATACGTTGTCCAAACGTGACCTCCAGCTCGCATTTGTATGCTGCAGCATATTTTTTTTATCCTTTGCTTTTTACAACGTTTTTGCATCACGCGCATGTATTAGGATCTACTACAACTCTCAGACCGGACAGTTTGTAGCAGTGCGGAGAACTTTTTGGGGTCACCTGCGGAAAATCTTTTATACACCTTCAGATGTTACTGTATGTGACAAAAACATTGGCGATGCAGAGGCTAAAATCATAATCAAGGTGAAGGGTAAAAAGTTTAATCTGTTATCAGATGACTTTGAATCACCTATATTCTTCAACATGCATTGTTATAATGCAGGAGAAAGAAACTAAAGAACTATTTCGAGAGTCCTTGGTTTCAGTACAGGCTCAGTCATTCTTGTCTCCAGATGTGACATAAAAGATGGAGCATACAGGTTTAGTTTCTTGGTTCACTACTGTGCATGTGTGGGTTCAGCATAAATCTGCTGAATGTGCTGTGCAGAATTGTCTGTGTGGTCACTGAGCCATGTGTGAGTGCCAAGAAACAGATTATAAACAGCACATTCACACCAACATTGTGTTACTAGTGCCAAACTTTGGCAATAATGAAGGCTAACCGACATTAACACTTGTGAAATGAGATGCCTGAGGAAAGCTGCCGAGTAAACCATCTGAGACAAAGTGAGAAATGATGCTTTCAGTCAGTCTGTGGCGACAACAACATCCATCATATTTATTGAGTAACATAAGAGGAAAAGAATTTAATGTGAGAGCAAGAGAAGATAACATTAAAGAGCTTGTACATTGACAAGGAATGACAACAGCTATTGCTACCGATCAAGCAGTGGATTGCACTGTTCCTCCCCATGACGCTTAAGGGCAGAAGTTGACATTGATGATGATGACTATCACTGAGCCAAGAAAGATATACTGGTCCACTGAATCAACGCCAAACTCTAAGCTGTATGGATCTAAAGAGGAACCCTGAAAAATGGTTGCGTTCATCATGAGAACTTGAGAATTCACCAATGCATGCTTTCTCTGCGTTTCAATGAGCATGCTACAGAACATCAAGGCGGACATGTATGGAAACAGTGGCTCCAGCTGATACAGCATGCAGCGTTTTGCAACATCACCATTTTTGTCCCAGGGCATACTGGTGTGAAAAGCAGTGAGAGAACAGACACCTTGGCTGGCAGTGTGACTATCAGGGACCGGTCATCTATGGACAATCCCATAGGAGATACTAAACGTTGTGAGGATTTCAGTTTCATGGAAATTGATTGACTGCACACCCTGGGTATACCAGTTTTAGCAACAAGACAGGAGAAACATCATCAATTCCATAGGAGAAACTAAACGTTGTGAGGATTTCAGTTTCATGGAAATTGATTGACTGCACACCCTGGGTATACCAGTTTTAGCAACAAGACAGGAGAAACATCATCAATCCCATATGAGAAACTAAACGTTGTGAGGATTTCAGTTTCATGGAAATTGATTGACTGCACACCCTGGGTATACCAGTTTTAGCAACAAGACAGGAGAAACATCATCAATCCCATATGAGAAACTAAACGTTGTGAGGATTTCAGTTTCATGGAAATTGATTTTTGACTGCATACCCTGGGTATACCAGTTTGAGCCACAAGACAGGAAAACTATGCAGGAGCCACCCGTAGTTATATCAGCCAGAACAGAACGGGAGTTGTTGGCCTAAAAACACTTGGAGACACTTAGAAGGAGATCGGAGCACTCATGGTCATGTCCAACATGGAGACGAACAATTGAAAGTAACCTGAGTACGGCATCTTTGACATGGAAAACTGCACTGAAGATTGCACAGGACAGGAAAGCATGGAAAGTCCTCTCTGAAGCCGCATGTGCCACTAGGCATAACGAGAACTGATGATGATGGTCGTGTCCAATGATGATGATCTTTAAATGAACAATGAACTTGCCTAATGGAGAAGTCACTGAAGGCAGTTTATTGCAAGAAGTAAAAGCTGAGCAATATTTTTGAAACACGAGCCCTTTTCTTCTCGAAAAGCCCAATTTTGGCTTTGCTGTGTCCTCATAAATGCCAATATATGGCTATGACTGCAGTGACCTGTTCTCGAAAAACACAGTTAAATTCGATTAGTTGTGTGTGCACTTGCGAGGTGTTTAATAGGCCAGGATGTGAATTTAAATTCCTGTAGGTTCATTACACAATTTTAAAAAAAAATAGCATTTATGGGGCTAAAGAGTTAACAGCCAAAATATAAGAACAATCTCAGAACATCATCGTCAAGTGCCTTGCCGACTGGCGTGGGCGATCATGCCTCTCCACAATCTGCGATCTCCTGCAGCATGTTTTAGTTCATGTGCTGACACGCCTCCATGCCATGCAACAAGACTGTCAAGAATCTTCTCTCGTTGTCTTCCTCTATCCCTCCTTCCACAGATCTTTCCAGTGGTCACAACATGTTCCATTTTGCCTCTTCTCATAACATGGTCGAAAAATGATGACTGTCTCCTTCTGATGTCTGTGATTAGTTGTCTTCGGGCTCCCACCTCTTGGTTGCTCTTTTTTACTGTCCAAGGTATTCTAGGCATTCTTCTGTAAAACCACATCTCCGAGGCCTCAAGAAATTATTTGGCCTGCCTACCGATTGTCCAGGACTCACAGCCATATGTTAAAACTGGATTATGCAGCAAGCAAGAATTCTTTTTCTAACCCTCAATGACAAAGATATATTGCATAAGATGTTCTTCATTTTATAAAATGCAGTTGTATCATTAATCTCAGATCAACATAACATTTTTTTACCTAGAAATACACCACAGCATGAGGGGGGGGGGGGGGGGGGATGGCCGCCATGTTTTAAACAGCCTAAAAAGTGGTAAATACAACAGAAAGTTGAATGTTTCAACCATGCACCACATGAAGAAGAATCCTAGACCTATGCCGACACTGGTAAACAGTCTACACAGGACTTGTTTATGATTTACCAGTGTGGGCATTGGGAGATGAAAGGGAGAACATTTGTTATGTTTGGGGTGGCTGTGTAAAATCAGTTGTTATAAACCCATTGCTTTCAGTGTCTTGCATATTCTATTAATAAAATACGCATGTGACCACATATAGCCGTCAGCCTTTCATTATGTATGAAAAGTGATGTGGAATAAGCTTATTGGATTACACTGTCCAACTCTCTTACTCATGCTTGCCTTATCTCTACCATCCAAGTCATTGTTTGATCTGCCGGATAGGTTAGGGCCTCATGTGGAAGTTGGCAGTATGTTCCAGATGTGTAGATTCATCTGTTACAGCTTCAGGTTTCCAGGGAGATCAAAGGTTCTGCTTCTTGCTATTCTGACCGCCTCAATCACAGGTGCTGTTGTAGAGTTTCTCTGATGTTATCTTTCCATCTTGCTCTTGGTCTACCTTTTGCTCTTCGCCTATCTCCTCTTTAGGGGTATGCCTTGTATGGTATGGTGTCACAAGGCATTCTTTCTATGTGGACAAACCATTTGTAATTTAGAATTAGTGTCAAAGTTGACTTCAGAAAGCCTATCATTTTATTGCTTGCCAAACCAACTCTGATGAGTTTTGACAGCTCATAATTCTTGTTTATACGATTTGCACAAATGTGACTTTTGATTCTAAAACCGCAGTTCTCAAACCTGTGGGTCGCGACCTTTTTGGTAGTCGAACAAACTTTCCACAGGGGTCCCCTAAGACCTTTAGAAAACACATTCACTGAAATTAAGTAGCAACAAAAATAGTTTTATGGTTAAGAGTCACCACATCATGAGGAACTGTACTAAAGGGTCGTGGCATTAGGGAAGTTGAGAACCACTGCCCTAAAGGGAAGCGGATGATTGTTACAGGTTACCTACCATGCATCTCATAACAGATGGCTAAGAAAGACAGGTGTGAGACTAGAAAGACTATGCCGTGCCAAGAGATGAAACTGCTCAAATGTATTTAGTTTCCTCAGCACTTTGAGCTCTTTAACTTCAAAGCTGTGCTTGTCATTGCCTAATCCTGACCTCAGGTTACTTCCTAATCATCTGCGGCCCCAAGAAACATAACCTGATGGGTGAACGGCATCACTGGAATTTGTACATGTAGCATTATCACCCTTGAATTGTTAATCATGTTGATTGCAATCCTGGAGTTGGGACAAACTGCAGCAGCTTTATTATTGTGCAGGTCGCCCACGTCCATCATCTCTGTCTTTTCTGCCTCGTGTGTGTATTTTTGCATGCAGATTTGAAGTTAAGCATTTGCCATCCATCCTTTTTATTTTACATTCATACTATTAATTTTGATGTATGAACTAAAATGCTTGATATATAAAATACAACTGCTGTGTGGAAGTTGAGTGATACAGGACCTGTGTTCCCAATTTGTGACCCTTTGGAAATAGTATCTTTATTCGTTTGTTCTTTGGCCTTTGTTCCAATTGGGCTCAGTGTTTAGTTCTACCTGCATATTATCTCCACCTTTTTGGTGTGCATCTGCATCCCATTCAACTCTTCTCTGTATGCAGGTTTTCTCTGTTGTCTGCCATGATCTCTTTATGCCCCAGCCTGCAGACTATTGTTAGCCCTGATGCTGCCAGTAATTAGTGCTGATTTAAACAGATTCAGAATGTATTCAGAATGTCATTGCTGCTTCTCAGGGCTGCGGTGCTGAAGTATGCTTGGCATATAAAATTCATAGGTAACTCTTCTTCTTTTTCGTGTTCGCCAGCTATAAAGTCTAGTGGAAAGTTCTGGTTGTTCACCCACCTATGGACTTAACTGTCTCAGAACCTGGGTGTTGTGTGCATGTCTGTTTTACACATCTGAGTTATGTATGTGCAGATTGTTGGTTCCTTTCTCTCAGGCAGATGCACTCTTGACTTTGAAGGAAACCCTCACTTTGTCAACTCTTACAATATGCAGTTGGTCTATTCTTGTTTCCCCCACAATAGGATTCCATAACTCACACGGGGGAGACCATATATAACTAAACACTCCCATCTGGTCTGCAAAGACAAATAACCCAAGAAAAAATGTCAACAAAAATATTTAATGTGCCGCACCAAACTGAGGAGGAAAGAAACACATTCTATGGGCAGTCGGCTGAAAGCTTCAGATAGTTGCTGGGCTGTGATCAAGACAGTTTCAGTTGAGCGAACTCTGTGGCAAGCTTGAGAGCATCATTGAGAGCCTGAGTATTGGTTCCTGTTGCCTGTGCAGACAGGTCTTTGCCACCACCTTTACCCCCAATAATGGGCACAACAACATCCACCCAGGCCTTGGCGTTGAGTCCTGTTGGAAGTGTGTCCTGAAAGATGAAACAAAATGCAATAATA